TGTGTTGATTTTCGCAAATTAAATAAAATCACAATTGCAGATGCTTACCCACTACCACGGATGGACGACTCCTTTGATGCCTTAGCCGGCGCTCAATTTTTTTCAAAATTGGATCTGCTATCCGGATTTTGGCAGTTACCTCTTGACGAGACGTCCCGACCCAAAACGGCGTTTCGCATGCCAAAGGTCTCTACCAATGTAATCGGTTACCCATGGGACTCCACTCCGTGCCAGCAACATTCCAGAGACTCATGGAACTCGTTCTGACTTGTCTTCAATGGGACTCTTGTCTAATATATTTGGACGATGTCATTGTTTTCAGCCACACCTTCGATGAGCACCTCGAACGGCTGCGAGCTGTATTCGGAAAAATGAGGAATGCTACCTTAAAGTTTAAACCACAGAAGTGCCATCTTGTGCAGAAATCCGTCAGATACCTTGGCAACATTGTTAGCGAGTCCGGCATCGCTACAGATCCTGAGAAGACGAAGTGCGTGAGTACATGGGCCACACCTACGTCGGTTGGGGAAGTGCGTAGTTTCATCGGATTCGCCTCGTATTACAGGCGCTTTGTTGCAAACTTTGCCACAATTGCCAAACCACTCCACGCCTTAACAGAAAAAGGTGTTAAATTTCATTGGGATGAGGCTCAGGAATCTTCTTTTCAAACCCCTCGAAATGCTCTGGCCGATGCTCCGAGACTCAGTTACCCCGATTTTAACAAGCAGTTTATCTTGGACACTGACGCCAGTGATACAGGTATTGGCGCTGTTCTATCTCAAATCGTTGACGGCGTGGAGAGGGTCCTTGCGTACGGTAGTAGAGTTCTCTCACCGACAGAACAACGCTACTGCGTCACGCGCCGCGAACTGCTTGCGATTGTTTACTTTGTTCGTGAGTATCGACTTTACCTGTATGGCAGGGAATTTCGGGTCCGATTGGATCATGCGGCGTTACAGTACGCCTTGCGAGTGGACCAACCATCTGGCCAGTTGTCCAGATGGTTGGAGATACTTCAGGATTTCACGTTTAGCGTGGAATACAGGAAAGGGACCCAGCACTCGAATGCTGATGCTTTGTCGCAGTTACCACAGCGCTCGCCCTGCACTTGCCTATCCGGCTCAGGTCGCTGCAAGCAGCCCTCTTGCCAGTCGACCACACCACTGGCGGCTGCGGCGGGAGCGCAAACGCCCATGCAACAGGAGGATGAGGGCACTAAGCCATGCGACTCTGTGCTCAACCTGAACATCGCCGAGTGGGGGCGTCTCCAGATGGAGGACATGTCGCTGCTTAGACTGCGCCGGCGCGCTGTAAACTCCCAAGGGGCTGCGGGATTGGGTCGTTCAGCCAGAACAGTTATATGGGACGGGCTCCTATTTTTCCGGGAAACGACACTCTAAACAAGCAGGTGATCGTCGTCCCCAGAATTTCTACGAGGTAAACTGGTGCGTGTCGTTCATGAGCAATTGGCTCACCTGGGAGTACACAAGACGCTGGACACCATTCAAAGGGACTTTTTCTGGCCAGGTATGGCTGATCACGTGGCAAACATACTCAGGAGCTGTGTCCAATGTGCACGAAGGAATCATCCCACTACACCTTGTCGGCCGCCCCTACAGTCCATCATAGTATCTCGCGTTGATGGGTTGTTCTAACTTGACGTGCTGGGGCCATTCCCAACTACTGCCCAGGGAAATAGATACTTATTGGTTGGGGTTGAGTACCTCACACGGTGGCCTGTGACCTGGCCTCTCCCCAACCAATCTGCACAGGTTAATACGGACGCGTTCATAAATGGTTACGTCATGGACAAGGGTGCGCCCGTAAAGTTATTGACTGACCAAGGGAAAAAATTTTGCTCCAAACTGCTCAAAGAGGTCTGCGCTCTGCTGGGTACCCACAAAATTCGTACCTCACCATACCACCCACAAACAGATGGTATGGTCGAACGACTAAACAGAACACTCACGGCTATGGTTAGCCATCATGTCATCGATTCTCAATCGGATTGGGATTTGTGTATCGCTGGGGTTCTAGCAGCATACCGCATGGCTCCCCATGCCTCGACTGCATTCTCTCCCTTCTACCTCATGTACGGACGGGAGAGCAGTCCCCCAATTGATGCACAGCTGGGTCTGACGAGCTCTAAACATGTGCCAAAATTTGAGGAATCCTTACGTTACAACATAGACAGGCTCACAGAGACTCGAGAAGCATCCCGGGTCAAGTCAGACGGTAAACAAAATTAACGAATTACGGGTCTTCATACCTCCAGCCACAATTGGGTGACAGGAGACACTGCGTGGCTGCATTGCCCCCAGATCCCAACAGGTACTTCGGCTAAGTTGGCTCAACCATGTAAGGGGCCGGTCGAGGTAGTGCGTGTCATGCGGCCTCAATGTATACAGATCCGCTGGGGACGACGTTCCTGGTATATTCACCCGTCGTGTCTGAAACCGTTCGTGCACCCGCGCACTCCTCACACATGCACACTTAGCTCTGGCCGTGGTTGTGATGTGCCCGACAAGCTGTGCCTCTAACCACAGACGCTGCAGGACTAGCGTTGCCACCGGCTCCGTCCTCACAGGCACAGTCGGAGGCTGCACCTGACATGACAGGCCCAGCCACAAGGACAAGATCAAAGACCCTGCGATTTCGTTGACACCCCCGCTGACTCTCTCTTCCCTCCCCCACACAGCGTGCCAATCGACACCACACAAACATGTCGTTCATTGATTAATTTATTAAAAAGTTGTATTTTACATTTGTATAGGTGGGTTAGGGTATTTAATCGGGGTGATTCACTGGCTTTTGCTTTCTTGTTCAAAGGCAGAATTTTATTTTTGTGTATATTTGTTACTGTTACCTTGTTATTTGAGAGTTGTTACAGTTGAGACGGCTGTGTGCTATGAGGGGAGGGGTGATGTAGCGGCATTGTTACGCGCAACATGTATACTTACCTGCGTAGCAGTATTGTATGGGCACGGACACTCACCTCTAGTGGCGCCCTCTGTGTATGGAGCGCAGAACAGCCAAGGGGGCTGTTGAGTGACAGTTGTACGACCCACGACTACAATAACCATTGACCAGGGGTGAGGGGGCCAGAGCCCACTGAGGGAGGGGGCTGGGGGGGCCAACGGTCGGACCCAGACCCTCTCCAGAGAGGGCGGTTGGGAGAGAGGAGGATATAAAGGGAAGCTCTCCCAGTGTGAGTCAGATAGCGCCCTGGGACTTCCGACCCCCGGCCCTTAGTGCCAGGTCCGAACGGCCCAGTGACGGCACCCGTTACCCTGGCAAGGTCGGGTGAGCATTGCCTCTCCTAGGTCCCTTAGATGGAGGAATTCCCGATAGCAGAGTATAGTGTGAGGGTACACTAAAAGTGAGGACATATCCTCTAGGCTATCGGGTGGGAGAGGCCGTTACCTCTCTGTGTTAGGGACGTTCTCTGTCGTTAGAGTAAATAAACGGTGTTGCCTACAAAGAGAAGTCTGCCTACTTTGTCAACACTCCAAAGGCACCAAATACACTGTGATGCAGCGTATACTTATTTATTGCCTTCACTTTCTATAAATATACGTAAAATCGAAAACGAATTTGCATAAAATATTATCATAGCCACTCGACCTTCTGCGTTAGTAAAGAAATCCACTCACACATTAACAATAATGAGGGGGGGGGGGTGCATATAGAGTGACGTCACACGCGGGACACACAGTCATTTTTTGGCTCGTTATATTAGTTGCTGCGTTGATTTCTTTATTAGCTTTACTTTCCATAAAGGTCAAAATGAAAGCCTATTTGCGTGAACAAATTTTCGTTTCCGCTCCACCTTTTTCATGCGGAGTGACGTCCCCATTCATGATTATTAATGACGGGGGGGGAGGGGGTCCATGTGGAGAACCCCACCTATTCATGATTATTAATGAGGGGGGCTGGTTGACGTGGAGTGACGTCACACGCTTTACACACAGACATTCTTGTCTCATGTCTGTATGTCGGGGATAGTGGATTATCCCTTGTACGCGTGGATTTTCGCCGGGTGCTCCGGTTTCCTTCCACATATAAACACTCGTTAATTGGCCGATAACTTAATATATAAAGGACTGCATAGCCTTGGCTATTATTGGCACCAGCCCAGCGCGTGGTATTACTTAATGAATATTATTATGAGACGCTGCGTAAATGATGCCGTGTGGCTGATGGGATGTGTAAAATAAATGTATTTTTACATGGAGGTGTATTTGCGTATGTTTTTTCCTTGTATTCTCCGCAACGATGTTAACGTTGATTTTGTGTATTCTATTTTTTTTTATTTTTGCTCTGATTTCTGTGTGGTTCATTCCTATACTTATATTTCTTTTGATTTTGTCATGTTGGTGACCCAGCTAACTGTTGAAAACGAGATTCTCTCCTGGTCTCTTGAGTTCTCACCTGGTTAAACAATTTATTTGTATTCTTTGGGTCTTTTGGTAAGCCGCGTAGATAGATCAAATAATAAAAAAGAATAAAAAGATTAAAAAATATCACGACGTTTCGATCGCAACGCAAGCAATCGTCATCAGGTGAGAGATACCGCGAGAGAGCTGCTGAGAATATATGGTGGGAGCGCTGCTAAGGTATGGAGTTATAAAGGTTTAGGATAGGTGTAGCCCAAGGGTCAGTGGGAAGGGCTATAGATTAAATTTGCATGTAAATGTTGGATCGGGTAAATCTTGCCAAACAAAGCTGTGGGGGTGGTCATTGTATTGTGAGAGATTAGCATGTCAATGTAAGAAATTTTCTTGTAAATGTAAGCTCGGAGAGAGCTCGGAAAGAGCTATCGCCACATGAATTAACTTGACTTGCATGTATATGTGTTTATGTTGAATTTCTTTCACACCGTATGTATCCAACCGTGCTAAACGGAGATGTGGGGGAAGGACAACAAACTAAACACAAAAAGAAATGAGCTTTCAATATAAAGACTTGAAATGTCTTCAACTGTCTCTTCGCTTTCTCAGAGCTCAGCCGCCAACTTGAGTCATCAACTCAGAACGCCGCTCCACCCACGGGCGACTCCTCCCTCATTGAGGTGTGTGCGGTCTGTGTCTTTGTTGTTTATGTGTGTGTTTGTGTGTGTGGTGGGTGCTCTGGACGGGTGTGAGGGGCTGGTAACCCTTCCACCTTCAATTAATTACCACTAAACCACGACCACAACATTTCATAAATAAGCTTGTGCCGGAGGCCCCAGGGGGACAGGCGTCTATGACGTCTCCTGGCAAAACCCCATTTGGCGGAGCCAGGAGACTGAATCCTTACCCTCGGGGCTCCTCCAGAAACAACAAAAAACCACTACGTGTGGCCACGTGGAATGTTCAAACGCTCACTGCGGAGGAGAGGCTGCCACTCCTCTGTCGGGAGCTGGACCGGTACCGCCTGAATCTCTGGTAGTCAGGAGGTCCGGTGGACCGGCTCTGGCTCCTGCCACCATGAGGGGTGGACAGTCCTCTCCTCGGGGCAGGAGTCTGCCAAACAACAGGGTGTGGCTCTTCTTCTGAATAAAAGAATGAAGGGGGTGTGGGAGCGTGGCGGGGAGGTGTGGGAAGCTGTAAGCCCCAGGCTACTTTGGGCTTGCCTTCCCATCAACCAGAGGCGAGGAGTGGTGGTCGTGGTTACTTATGCCTCTACTGAAACTGAAGACGAACATCCGTGGAGGGATGCAAGCAAGGCCGATGAGTCAGATGCCTTCTATGACCTGTCACAGGTTCTAGCTAAAGTGGCCCCTCGGGATAGTCATCTTGTTGGGTGACTTCAATGCCTGAGTTGGTTATTATGCTAGCACCTGGTCTGGAGTAATTGGAAGGCATGGGCCAGATCAGCTCAATAGCAACGACAGGAGCCTGCTAGATTTTTGTGCAGCCCATGGGCTTGTAATTACCAACACGCTGTTCCGGCATCGGCACATCCACACTACATCATGGATGCATGCCGAGTCCAAGCAAGAACATTTGCTGGACGACATAGTGACGGAACAGCGGATGCGGGCCCATGTTGTTGACACCTGGACCTACCATGGAGCTGATCTGCCCACTGACCATTGACTTGTCATCTGTAAGATGCGCCTGCCATTCTTCCACTCCGGTGATGGGTGTACACCCAGGACCCCATTCAAACCCTTAGTGGAATGGTCTCAGCTAGCTGATGAAAGTTGCAAGCGAGAATTTCATCATCACTTGCAGCGGGGGTTGGCATCGTCCCCCACTCCTCCTGATGTGGAGGGGAAATGGGTGAGGTTTAGGACTGTGGCTCATGCAGCTGCAATGGCTGCTTTAGGTCCATGGTCCAGACCTCCCCGGAGACCCTGGCTGACAGGAGGTGTTCAAGCTGGCTGAGAAAAAGCGACAGGCCCACTCTCATTGGCTACAGCATCCCACGTCGGAGAATGAGGAGGTTTACCGCAGCCTTGGCTCGGAGGTTCGGAGAGCCGTGAGGCGCTGCAAGGATGGGTGGTGGTCGCGGGTTGCTGAGGAGACGGAGTCTGCCTCAGTGGCCCGCGACAAATCGCTCTTTAATGCCATCAAAAAAGTAACCTGCAGCGCCACACCTATTACCATCATTAGGGGAAAGAACGGTGATCCAATCTCCGACCCCCAGGAACAGGTTTCCAGATTTGCTGAGCATTTCTGTGAGGTCCTGAGTGAGGGGAAATCCCTCAGCCTGGAAAACATCATGGGACAAAGTGGGGATGACCCTGCTGAGGCTGCTGTGCCTCAAATATTGGAGGAGGAAGTCACCCCCTGTGTGTGGCTGGCTGAGGTGCCATCTGTTGAGGAAGTACTGAAGGCGATACAGAGTCTGAGACCAGGAAACGCACTGGGCAGAGATTATCTCCCAAGCTAAATGCTGAGGGAGGGTGGCGTTTGTGTGCAGACTGCCCTAGATGATATAACAACAGTTTGGACCACTGGACGGGTTCCGCAAGATTGGAAGGATGCCCTGGTGGTCCCCCTCTTTAAGAAGGGGGACCGCACAGACTGTAACAACTACAGGGGCATCTCACTCATCAGTATGCCGGGAAAGGTCCTAGCAAGGATTATTCAACATCGCCTTGCTAAGCACGCTGAGGAGAGGCTTGCGGAGCCCCAATGCGGTTTCAGGAAAGGGCGGTCCTGTACAGATGCCATATTTTCTGTCCGTCTGCTACAGCAGTGATATAGGGAATTCCAACAAGACCTACATGTCGTTTGTTGACCTGGTCAAGGCCTATGATACCATCAGTAGGCCTGGGCACTGGGTTGTTCTTCATGCTTTCGGAGTCCTTGACCCTCTGCTCACGCTCATTAAGGACCTTCATGATGGTGAGCGGGCCCGGGTAAAACTTCGTGGCCAGGAGTCAGAGCCATTCCCTGTACACCTTGGGGTGCGACAGGGATGTCCTCTGGCTCTTACATTATTTAACATCTATTTTGACCACGTAGTTCATGAAGCCTTCAATAGCTGTACCGGGGGAATCCCCATATGGTACAGATATAATGGGAGGCTGATCGATGCCCGGGTGCGGTCAAGGGATGGCTCCCTATTGCTCAACCACGTTATGTATGCCGATGATTTGGTAAAAGCTGCTCATTCAGAGAGGAGTTGGAAATGCTGCTGCTGAGACTGGAGCGTGCAACTAAGAGATGGGGCCTTACCATCAGCCCCACCAAAACTAAGCACCTGCCTGGGTATTTTGTACCATCGGACACTCCACCCCCACAACTCCCAATCGGTGATGGAGCAGTTGTGGAGAGAGTGGAGAGTTTCCCATACCTGGGCAGTGTGCTTATGACCGGCTCCAGTTTAACAGCAGAGGTCTCACTCCGAATCAGTCGAGCGGCAATATCTTTTCATCGGTTACGTATTGCTGTGTGGAAGCTACCTGTCCTGTCGCTCCGCACTAAGCTTCAGGTCTTCTCGGCCACGGCCATTCCCTCCCTTCTCTACGCTTGCGAAACGTGGACCCCCCCCTAATGGAACATCTTCGCCGGTTAGAAACATTTAGGCTAGCCTGCCTACGATCCATCCTGGGTTTAACCAGGCTGGATTGTGTGAGGAGCTCACAAATCTTTGAAATATCTGGGAAAGGTCCCATCGGTGAGCTCCTCCGGCAGGCAAGGCTGCGTTGGCTGGGTCATGTAGCCCGCATTCCCAGCCACCGCATGCCGAAATAACTTTTGTTCGGCCGGATCGAGGGGGCTAAACGGGCGCGGCACGAGCTAGAAAAGAGATGGAGTGATGTGGTACAGGAGGACGTGGAGCTGAGTGGACTTGCTGATGACTGGTATCAGCGGTGTCAAGATCGGCCTCTGTGGAGGAGGCTCGTGAAGGACGCTACTGGGCAGTTGGAGGTAGTCGCCCTCCAACAACAACGGAGGGCGGAGGAGCGACGCTCACAACAACGAGCGGAGCGCCGGGTGGCTAAAGCACAGCACGTTGGCACAGTAGGGGGCACAGATGGTGCATCAGCCAGTCATCTCAGTCATCTTAGTCAGTCGACCCGTGGCACTTGGGTCTGCCCCGTGACCTCCTGCCCGCGGGCGTTCGACACTTCACGTGGCCTCAAGGTGCATATGGCCTGGCACAAGCGTCGTGGTGACGTCACCGCCACTTAGTGGCGAATGGCGGTTGTTGTTGTGCTTCGGCCAGTCATCTCAGTCGACCCATGGTACCTGGGTCTGTCCCGTGACCTCCTGCCAGCAGTCGTTTGAAATTTCACATGGCCTTAAAGTGCACTTTGCTTTGCACAGGCACTTTGATAACGTCACTGCCACTTACGGAAAATGGCTATTGTTGTTGCTGCTGCTATTTTACGTGGGGCGCGTTAGTGTAGCAGTTAGAGCGCTGCGCTACGAACCCAGCGACCCAACTTCGATTCCAGCTCACGGCCCTCACCAGTTATGATTATCTGAACTGGTCCAGGGCCTCACCTAGTTCGACTCAGCCTCAAATGAGTACCTGATGTGGTGTGTAAACATCGCCACTCGGGAGAGAAAGGCAGCCGGGCGTAGTGCTGGCCACCCACCCCCTCCTGTGCCGTGCCGGCCTTTTTACAAGTGCTCACGAATAGCACTTGCCCCAACAGTCTGTTACAGGCTATAATGGGGGACCTTTGTGTTTGTGTCTGTTCAGGAGTTGAGCATGAAGGTGAGCTCTGTTCTGCATGAGAAAGCAGAAATTGAGCTGCAGTTGAAGGATGCAAAGGTATGCCCACTCTCTCCCACAGGATTGTCACAGCTTTCTCATGAAAACGTGTTCTCGCTGACATTCCAAGAAATCTGGAATGTCTATTTTGGGAGGTGGCTGGGTAATAATAATAGCAATAGTGTTATTATATTCTTGGTTCTTTTAGTAAAGTCACATAGAAGGGAAACAATAAAATAATATAAAAAAATATATTTTTTGTTAATGAAAAAGATATATTTATTTATTTATTTATTCCCCTTCTACGTGACTTTACCGAAATAACAAAGAATATGAATCCTTGCAGTCACGAAAGCTTAAAATCTAAATTTAATAGTGTTATTATTAACAATAATGATATATGTGTGATTGTTGGAGCTGCCCTTCTCAGAGTGCCTGACACGCGATGCGTGACTTGCATCACATCTCACCTCGCATCATTTGAAAGGGCACCCCTAGTGGCAGATGTGTCCCCGTATCACGGTACCAGCCTGCAAGCAGGAATTATCGTATTTTCCTGCATATAACCTGCGGGGTATACCACTGTTCACAAACAAAACAAGACCCTGCGCGGTATATGGAGGTGCGAGCTATCCCAAAAATATTTTACACGTGTGACATGTTATAACTCGTTACATTTTTTTCATGGTAGGACTATCCACTATGCAACATTTACCTTTAACTACAGCACTGCTGAATAAACCACTCACACTAAAATTGCACGTTATCACGTTTTAAATGAAATGTTTGTACAATTAAACGACTGTTTGAAGTGCACACACTGTTTACCTGCGACGGGAGAGCTGGGTAGAGAGGTGGGAGGTTGGGGGGTGGGGCAGCTGGGGGGAGGGAGAGGTGGGGGGTGGGGCAGCTGGGGGGAGGGAGAGGTGGGGGGTGGGGCAGAGCAAGATCTGCGGAGGCGACGGGAGAGCCTGGAAAGGGAGAGGTGGGAGGTTGGGGGGTGGGGCAGTTGGGGGGAGGGAGAGGTGGGGGGTTGGGGGCGAGGCAACGGAGTTACCGTAGTGCCGCTATTATCTGCGCAGTGCGCAATCTACCAGTGCTAAACATGTACTTATCTACCAGTTGTGTTACTTATTTATTGGATATTTACCTTTGTTACTTATTTACTGTTTTAAGTTCACTTGTTTCTGGTTAGTTTGTTTTCTTTGTGCACGTTATGATTTTAATATTAACAATTGATAGTGGAATGTATTACAAATGTAAACTTCGTATTAATATGATGGAATTAAGCTGCGGTAACGACGTTAAAGATATGAATGCATGCGGGGTATATGGAGGTGTGGGCTATCTGAAATTTGTTTTACACAAAACGCTATTTTTGCGGGGTATATGCGCCTGCGGGTTAAATGCGTATGCGGGCTTTATGCGGGAAAATACGGTAGTCTGCCAGTCGGGAGCAATGATCGCTTGTGTATCTCTCAAGTGATTCATTCGCAAGTCATTTGTCGAATTTGGTCCATTTGGACCACGACACAATACACAGTGGCCTCATTTAGATGGACATCATTAGGTTTGAATACCCACCGTGAAGCATACAGCGCATAGCATTTATGGTTCAAGCATCTGCAGAAATAGCCAGCTCGGCCTGCCAGATTTTAACCATGCACCTCTGCAACAAGAGGTGAATGCACTACCGCTGGGCCCTGTAACCTCCCCTACATAGACTGCATGGAATCATTAAATCTCTGGTGCTCAGTGTCTATCTCAGGGGGATTTTCGTGAAGAGACACTCTACTAGTACCAGTGATTGAACCTGGAACTTAAGTAGTGTGGATTCACCCTGAACCTGCGCAGTAGTAGGTAATGGTGAGTGGGGGCAGTAGGGCTTGGGGTGGGGCGATTTCACAACTGCGATGACCAATATCCCTCCTTAGAGCAGCAATATGACAACAGATTCTTAGAAAAATTAAAGTGTCAATGATTTCCTGCTCAAGTCACTTGCCCTCCCCGCCCACATGTAGGCCGGCTCAGCACGGCTGGAGCGTGAGCTGGAGCGCGCCCGCTCACGGCACCATGAGCAGATCGTCCTGCATGAGGCACACGCCGCCGAGCTGGGCGAGCGGCTCGCCGAGACGGCCGCCCACGCGCTGCGCCTGGAGGCCGACGTGGAACGGCTCACATCCGAGCTGGAGATAGGCCAGCGGGCGGGAGCCACTGCCACCATGGAGAAGGGTGAGGAGGAGATGGAGCAGCCGAGATGGGAGAATCGGGGGAGCGTGGAGAGGATGGTGGCTGAGTATGAGCAGTGCAGCGACGTGGAGGCAGAGGTGGAGGAGGGAGCGACGAGAGTGAAAATCCTGGAGCTCTTGCATCAGTTGGATAGGATGAAGGCCCTTCACTGTGAAGAGGTGGAGAAGCTTCGGTCGCTTACACATGAGGAGGTTGAGACGATAAAGGTGCAACACTGTGAAGAGGTGGAGAGGATGGTGGCCCTCCACAAGGAAGATGTGGAGAAGCTTAAGTCCCTTCCACATGAAGAGGTGGAGAGGATAAAGCGAGAACTTGATGAAGAGGTGGAGAAACTCAAGTCTAGTCACTCTGAAGAGATGAAGCAGATTAAGATCCTTCACAGTGAAGAGGTAGCGAGGCTGAAGTCACTTCCACATGAAGAGGTGGAGAGGATGAATGTCCTTCACTGTGAAGAGGTGGAAAGGATGATGGCCATCCACAAGGAAGAAGTGGAGAAGCTCAAGTCACTTCCACATGAAGAGGTGGAGAGGATAAAGATAGCATTTGATGAAGAGGTGGAGAAACTCAAGTCTAGTCACTCTGAAGAGATGAAGCAGATGAAGATCCTTCACAGTGAAGAGGTAGAGAGGCTGAAGTCACTTCCACATGAAGAGGTGGAGAGGATGAATGTCCTTCACTGTGAAGAGGTGGAAAGGATGATGGCCATCCACAAGGAAGAAGTGGAGAAGCTCAAGTCACTTCCACATGAAGAGGTGGAGAGTAGAAAGATAGCATTTGATGAAGAGGTGGAAAAACTCAAGTCTAGTCACTCTGAAGAGATGAAGCAGATGAAGATCCTTCACAGTGAGGAGGTAGAGAGGCTGAAGTCACTTCCACATGAAGAGGTGGAGAGGATGAATGTCCTTCACTGTGAAGAGGTGGAAAGGATAATGGGCATCCACAAGGAAGAAGTGGAGAAGCTCAAGTCACTTCCACATGAAGAGGTGGAGAGGATAAAGATAGCATTTGATGAAGAGGTGGAGAAACTCAAGTCTAGTCACTCTGAAGAGATGAAGCAGATGAAGATCCTTCACAGTGAAGAGGTAGAGAGGCTGAAGTCACTTCCACATGAAGAGGTGGAGAGGATGAATGTCCTTCACTGTGAAGAGGTGGAAAGGATGATGGCCATCCACAAGGAAGAAGTGGAGAAGCTCAAGTCACTTCCACATGAAGAGGTGGAGAGTAGAAAGATAGCATTTGATGAAGAGGTGGAAAAACTCAAGTCTAGTCACTCTGAAGAGATGAAGCAGATGAAGATCCTTCACAGTGAGGAGGTAGAGAGGCTGAAGTCACTTCCACATGAAGAGGTGGAGAGGATGAATGTCCTTCACTGTGAAGAGGTGGAAAGGATAATGGGCATCCACAAGGAAGAAGTGGAGAAGCTCAAGTCACTTCCACATGAAGAGGTGGAGAGGATAAAGATAGCATTTGATGAAGAGGTGGAGAAACTCAAGTCTAGTCACTCTTCAGAGATGAAGCAGATGAAGATCCTTCACAGTGAAGAGGTAGAGAGGCTGAAGTCACTTCCACATGAAGAAGTGGAGACGATAAAGCTAGAATTTGATGAAGAGGTGGAGAAACTCAAGTTTAGTCACTCTGAAGAGATGAAGCAGATGAATATCCTTCACAGTGAGGAGGTGGAGAGGCTGAAGACACTTCCACATAAAGAGGTGGAGCGAATGAATGCCCTTCACTCTGAAGAGGTGGAGAGGATGATGGTGGAACACTGTGTTGAGGTGGAGAAACTGAAAAATACTCATCGACAAGAGGTTGAAAATCTAACATCAGCTCACACCAAAGATGTGGAACAACTGAAGTCTGATCATGGAGAAGAGATGGATAAGCTGAAGACCCTTCGTATAGAAGCGGTGGAGAGACTCAAGTCTGATTGTGGTGAAGACAACCAACATCAGCAATCAGTTCCAGGTAAAGAGGTGGAGAAGATGAAAGCACTTCACAGAGATGAGGTGGAACAACTTAAGTCTGATCATGGTGAAGAGGTGGAGAGGCTGCAGTCACTTTTTAGTGAAAAGGTAGAGAAGCTGAAGTGCCTTCACAGTGAAGAGGTGGAGAAGATGAGAGCCAATCATTATCAAGAGGTGGACAGTCTAACATCTTTTCACAGGGAAGAGGTGGAACAACTGAAGTCTGACTTCCGTGAAGAGGTGGAAAATATGAAGACCCTGCATACAGAAGAGATAGAGGGACTGAAGAATGATCGGTGTGAAGAGGTCCAAGAGCAGACATCAGTTCCAGGTGAAGAGGTGGAGAAGCTGAAAGAACGTAATATAGATGAGGTGGAACAACTGAAGCCTGATCATGGTGAAGAGGTGGAAAGGCTCAAGTCTGCCAATTATGAAGAGGTGGAGAGACTGCAGTGCCTGTCCAGTGAAGAGGCGGAAAGGTTGAAAGTCGATCATAAACACGAGATTCAAAATCTGACGTCAGCTCACAGAGAGGAGGTGGAACAACTGAAGAAATATTATGATGAAAATTTGGAGAATCTGAAGTGCCTTAACAATGAAGAGGTGGGGAAAATGAGAGCTGATCATAATCAAGAGGTGGACAGCCTAACATCTGCTCACAGGGAAGATGTGGAACAACTGAAGTCTGACTTTCATAAAAAGGTAGATTTGCTCAAGTCTGCCCACTGTGAAGAGGTGGAGAAGCTAAGTGAAGCGGTGGAGAAATTAATAGCGGATCATCAGCACGAGGTTGACAAACTCGTGTCTGCTCACAGAGAAGAGGTGGAGCAACTGACGCCCAATCATTGTGAGGAAGGTTCAGTCACTGTGGAGAAACTGCAAGCTCTTCATAATGAAGAGATGGAGAAGATGAGAGCCGATCATTGCCAGGTGGTGGACAGCCTAGCATCTGCTCACAGAGATAATTTGGAACAACTGAAAACACTTCCTGATGAAGAGGTGGAGAAGCTGAAGGGCCTTCACAGTGAAGAGGTAGAGAAAATGAGAGAAGGTCATCTGCAAGAGGTTGAAAATCTGGTGTCTGCTCATAGAGAAGAGGTGGAGCAACTGAAGTCCAATCACTGTGAAGAGGTGGATAGGCTAAAAGTTAATCACAAGGATGAGGTTGGGAAAGTAACGGTTGATCATGAAGAAGAGTTGGAGAAACTGAAAGATCTTCACAGAGAAGAGTTGGGGCAGCTGAGATGCGATTATGACAGTCGGCTAGAAAGTCTTCGGTGCCATCACGCCGAGGAGGTGAAGAGGCTAAACGATGAGCACCAAGTAGAGGTGGAAGAGCAGACAACTCTTGTCAAAGAAAAGATGGAAAAGCTGAGGTGTATCCACAGCGAAGAGGTAGAAATCCTGAAGTATTGTCATCAAGACGAGGTGAAGAGGCTAAGTTTGGCACACACAGAAGAGGTCAAAGATGTGAATTCTGTCCAAGCGGTAGTTGTTGATCATGCTGTGTCCCATCATAACAAGACCGAGAAGAAGGAAGGGGTGGTGGTGGTGGAGCAGGAAGAGGTGCAGGAGATGACGGGTAAGGTTACGCAGCTACACGCTAGGGAGGTGGAGTGCGGCACCGTGGCCAGTGTGAGGACAAACACTGGGAATCGAGAGGGCAGCACACAGGATCAGGAGGGAAGCAAAGAGGATCAAGAGAGAATCTCTGAGAATCGGGAGGGCAGCATTGTGGGAAGCCTGCGTGGCGTTCGTGCCATTTTGCACCACTGTGCCTCAGAAGCAGAGAAGAACAAAGAACATCTAACCAACATGGCAAGCCAGCTGCAGGTTCTCCTCCGTGAGATGGAGCAGGATGAAGAGCTCCCGGGCGAAGGCGATGGCGAGCAGGAGGAGGCTGCAAACCGGACATTGCAGAGCAAGTGGCGGGATCGGATGATGGATGCTGCGAGCAGGTTGAGAGAGAGGATGGAAGTGGCCGTTGAGACCAGCGGGCTGCTGTGTGGAGAAATGAGACGGCTGCTAGAGGAGGACAAGGTTGAGGAGAAGGAGGCGGAGGAGGAGCAGGTGGTGGGACTAGGAGCTACTGGCTCTGCGGCCTCAACAGAGGTGGAGGAACTTCGCTCACAAATAGGTATGGTGGCCAGTCTTAATGTTGCATTGATTACACTGTAACAGCATTTTTTATTTATTTTTGTGTTCCTGGGTAGTCAGTATTATTTCCTAATTGCTTATGCCTCCAATCTACAGAAAATGGCTATTATTCCACACAAACTTTGCTTTTGTGACCAGGACAGTCATATTTTTAAATTTACCTATTCTCAATGAGAAAACGGGCGAATTTGTGTCTTTTCATTCACATGAAGTCAGAAAAAAACAACATGAATAAAAATATACATGTATTTATACTAAAGTAATACAAAATTACTTCAAAAGATTTAGACACCAAGGCGCACTACCACAGGCGGGACTGGCCAAAGCAGGACCGACTTCTCTGTGAGGAGGAACAACGTCAAGTGGGAGCCACTGGTGGAAGTGCTGATGCCACCACTGCAAATCAAATTGGGCCTCATGAAAGAATTTGTCAGAGCTGTAGATAAGGAGTCGGCAGCCTTAAAATACCTTCAATACTTTTTCCCTAAGCTGATGAGGCAAAGGTTAAAGCAGGTGTTTTCATCGGACTACAGATAAAGAAGATCCTGGAGTGCAATGAATTCCTAAAGAAGCTCACTAGTAAGGAGAAAGCGGCTTGGAACAGCTTTGTCGCAGTGGTTCGTGGCTTCCTGGGCAATCACAAGGTCGAAAACTATGTGGAGCTGGTTGAGACTGTTGAAGAATTACGGCACAGTGAGCTGTAGGATGTCCCTCAAAGTCCATATACTTGATGCTCATCTTGACAATTTCAAGGAGAACATAGGAGCCTACTCGGAGGAGCAAGGCGAGCGCTTCCACCAGGATATACTGGACTTTGAACGCCGCTACCAAGGACAGTATAACGAGAACATGATGGGAGACTACATTTGGGGGCTGATTAGTGAAACTGATTTACAGTATAATCGTAATTTGTTTTATTATATTAGTATAAATACATGTAAATTTTTATTCATATTCGGTTTTTTTCTGACTTTATGTGAACGAAAATACACATTCGCCCGTTTTCTCATTGAAAATAGGTACATTTCAAAATATCACTCCTGGTGACAAAAGCAAAGTTTGTGGGGAATTTTAACCATTTTCTATACTTTTTAGGCATAAGCAATTACGAAGTAACACTTACTACCCAGGAACAAAAATTGTGTTCCAAGCGTTATCATTGATTGTTAAAAGCTCTATCAGCTCTTTATCGTTAATCATTCATTCTTCGGCTCTTTAGGAAAGGTTAAAGGATACACGGTGTAGCCCTGCATGTCTTTCTGATACTACTGCTATAGGGAGCTTGAGGGCATATTTGGCCAATTCTGCAACACTAATAATAGATTTTTGGGTTAGATCATGTGAGTAAACGTGTGTACACCCTCCTCCACCTGATACAGCCAATTTATACTGTAGCCACGTGGACAGACATACCAATGAATTACTGCTTCAGCAAGACCCACTGATGTGTTTGAGAGCAAATCTAGATTGAAAACTAATTTCTTTCTAACTGCTTTTTGTGTTTAGTTTGTTGTCCATCCCCTGGACCTCCGATTAGCACGTTTGGCTACATACGGTGCCAAAGAAGTTCAACATACATACATCGAGCCACACACATGTAACAATTGGGCATGACACATCACTGTTAGTTACAACAAGCATCATCAGGAGGTTGCCATAATTGTGTAAATGTCCTTCAGTCTTGGGACTTACATATGTGGTGTGATGTCATCAATGTGTGCCCATGAGGGATCACAAAGTGGCAGTAAGTGAAATATATAACTTAATCTAGACATGCCAATATAAAGGTATATATTTAATTATTTGCTTAAACAAGTTAGTCATATTCTTAGTTTTTTCGGTAAAGTCACGTTGAAGAGAAACAACAAAATAACAAAATATATATAAAACAATAAAAAATTATCACGACGTTTCGACCATAACTCAAACGGTCATCATCAGGTGTGTCGGTTTACTGCAGTCACGAAAGCTTTAAATCAAAAGTTAGTCATAGTTAATTAGTTACACTAGATACTTATGCGAGATTATAATAAGTTATATGAACGAGGTACACGCATTAATGTGCGCATATCTAGTGTACATAAATATCGTCACAGTGTGTTTTGCTATACTGCCACACCATTCAAGGATTATGGAGCAGGAAAATTCTAATACGAATATGTAGGGTCATATAGGCGAGTTGACGAGGCTCAGCTCATGGGATTCCGTGTGTAGAGCTGCCCAGTGGTATTTTCACCCCAGGTAGATCTAAGTGAGGATGAGAACTGATGGTTCCCTGGCTGAGGTTGCCACAAGTCCTTCCAGAATTTACTCTTGATGGCTCTACAAGCTTTTTCAGTCGACTCCAGACAAAACTAACACGGCTTTTAAAGTAACTGCTAGCTCGTCTTCCAGCATCATTAGTTGATGGTGAAAACACCGTGCTCCAGCCATGATTTAAAATCGTACCCACCTGACACTTCCACAAGATGATGTGCTCCTAGGATTTGGACGGCTGGATGGGGATCGCCGCCTTTATAGCACCCTAGAGAGAGACAAAGACGTTCTACTGCTAGGGATGAAGATCACTCATCCGCTTAGCCCTGCGGTCACTGCCGAAGTATCTGGATTGGTCTGTTTAGCCATGTATATATGTTGAACTTCTTTCACACCATACGTAGCCAACCACGCTAATCAGAGGTGCGGACAACAAATTGAACACAAATAGCAGTTAGAAAGAAATTAGTTTTCAACCCTTCCTGTATTACAAAGGTCGTAGTTTAAGACCATTAAACAAAGGATAATAAAACCACTAACGCTAAGCTTCTGAGGCAACCATCATTGTTTGCACGGGTAGCTTAGCAGTAGTAGCTGTTATGTTTTTTTTAGCTATGGGAGGAAACCGGACAAGCTGGAGGAAACCAATGCAGAGCAGTGGAAGAACATACAGACACCTCACAGTCACTAACCCAATCTGCAGAACAGGGGGAGAACATACAGGCTCCACAGAGAAAGGTGCCTGAGTTGGGAATTGAACCCGGACATTCTTACTGTGAGGCACAACGTGTAACCACAGCGCTGCGACCCTGCTGTCTTAAGAGGGCGCGGCGGTGGCGAGATGCTAACTAGCTCGCCTGGTATACAGGAAGTCGTGGCTTCGATCCCGATCCTTATGCCTGTATATTTGGAGTTTGCATGTCTCTCTCCCCGTGGTCGTGTGGATTTTTCTCCGGGTCCTCCGGTTTTTTCCCTCCACATTTACAATCAACGTTACACGTTTTGAGTATTTGGCTGCTATAAATATCCACATGATAATAAGCCACTTCCTTGAGCTATTATATGTGGCCAGGTCGCTTCTGAAAAAGAGCTCTGTGTTTAGCTGCATTGTGTGTTATCGGCGGCAGTCACTCTGCGTGAGGGCAAGGAGAAGATGAACAAGATGAAGGCGGTGGCCGTGAAAGCGCGGAGAGAACTCGACATATGTCGCAAACAGGTACAAGTCGATGCACTGTGTGACGAGTTATGGTGGAGATTGCCATGTGTGTGGTAATCGACACCTTGGACACCCTTGTGAAAGAGGCGTTCCATCTCGGGATTTTCCAGGTGAAATATAAAAGATGGTCATGATGGATGACTCGAACCACTGTTGATTATATGGAGACAATAATGGGAGTGATGATTGTGGAGAGCGGTGTTGATGCGGTTTAGCACACTGCGCTACGAATCCGGCCACCCGAGTTCTATACCCACTCACGACCAAAACCTGTTACTATTATCTGAACATGTGCTGGGCCTCCCCTAGGTCGACTCAGCCTCAAATGAGTACCTGGTGTGGTGTGTAAAAACATCGGCAATAGGGAGACAAAGGCGGTCAGGTGTGGTGCTGGCCACTCACCCCCTCGTGTGCCATGCCAGCCTTTAGAAGAGGTGCTCTCTAACCGCACTTGTCCCAAAAGTCTGTTCAGGCTATACGGGGGATCTTTTTATTTGGTGATGATCATGGTGGTTGTGATGATTGGTGTACGCATGGTGATGTTTGTGATTAGTGACATTGCTATTGATGATGATGATGGTGGTGGTGGTGATGATAGTGATAATGCTGATGTTGTTGCTAGTCGTGATGATGATGATGATGACCGGGTAGGTTCAGCAGCTGACAGAGCAGTTGGCGTCTGTGCATGCGGAGAGAGCCGCAGCCCTGGGCTCCCTCGCAGAGCTCACTCAGGAGACCAACAGCTTCAATGTGAGTGTTTGTATATACTCTACACACACACACTGAGTGGTGGTGGTGTCATGGTTTGTGCACTGCACTGCGAACCTGACAACCTGAGTTTTATTTCTGCTCATGGCCAATATCGGTGACGAATTTCTATTAAACTAAGAACTAAACTGTACTAGACTGAGCCTACCCTAGGCCAACTCAGCCTTAAATGAGTAACTGGTGCAGTGTGTAGACATCGGCACTGGGAGTCAAAGGTGGCCGGGCATGATGCTGGCTACCCACTCCCACGTGTACTGTGGCAGCCTTCATAGGTGCAACTGGCTAACATCACTTTCCCCAACAGTCTGTTAAGGCTATACAGGGGATATTTTTCTTTGTAGCTACATAACATGTGGCCACCTCCTTTGCGGGGGCGTGCGCTGTAAGCCACATGCTCTAGGTGGCGGTGGAGGCCGCACTGCGTTGTCACAAGTTTCAAAAACGTGTTAGACCGATGGTGTTTAACCTTCAAACTCTTAAGCGATGAACCTCCCCCGGTTAAGAATCCAGCTCAGAGTTCTTTAGCCTTTTAGCTTTGTTGGAAACTGTGCAGAGCCTGCAGGTGGAGTTTGAGAAGCTGGCCAGGAGTCTTGATGAAGAGAGAGAGAAATCGGAAGCTGCAGACAAGAGGATCCAACAACTTTGCAGAAGTCTTCAGGGCAGTACGCAGGAGGTAATCTCGCGCCACACGCACACGTGCGCTACAACAGTAATCGTTGCAAAAGGACTGGCACTGATGGCTCTGCTGCACTTGGCCTTGTAACCCAGCACTGCGGCAGGCAGCAAGGGTTGTCGGAGCACAACTCCCTCCCTGCCGGTGTGCATCGTTGATGTCGTCTCCTGGCTTGCCAGAGCATGATGGCAGATGGATGCCTTTACATCCGTATTCCTCCTGTATGGGGATTGAGCATTACTCCCCTTGCACGTGGGGGTATTCTCCGGGCACTGCAGTTTCCTCCTACATGTACACTTGTTAATGGAATTGGCCACACGTATTGGACCTCAGACGTTGGGGCAACTGTTTGTGCAGGCTCTTCCTGCCTTCTCGCTCTTCCGTGGTTTCCTCTGGGTGAAAACTGTGCCGCGTTACAAATTTTATACAGCGGCGTTTTGATCTGCAATTTTAATGAATGACGCCGCTAAATAACAATAAAACATATGATTATTATTAGTTGACTTTGAACACATTGCGTGGAATTCACCAATATTCGTCTTATCTAGGAATATAAGTGGGACTGACCCTGGATCGTGCTTTGATCGGTCACCACCTTGCATAAATAGTGTTATAGGCTGGTGCGGGGCTCTGTGTTAGCAAAGGGCAGTGCGGCAAATGCTATTGTTATACAGTACTATGCTAAAACGTCTATGCTTGCCGCTTCCACCGACCCAGGCTTCTTGACGATCCAGCACTCACTAATTAACTACGTTCTCACCAGTTACCTCCTCATCACCCTTCTGCAGCTATCACTACCATGGTTACTGTTCCCCTGACCCTCCCTCATTGATTCCTCCACCCAATTTGAGAGCTCGGTCTAAACCCAGGCACTGACTGTTTCTTCTCCACCTCACTATGTTCAACCACCAATACCAATATCCACCATCGTCACTAAGTGACGGTGACATCACCACGGCGCCTGTGCCAGGCCGGGTGCACCACCACTACACCACCACCACATTACAGGTCACAACACTTACTCTTTTGGCTTCTTTCCGGACATGCTGCTCAGCTTTGGAATTCTCCCTCGCATCACGTCTTTTCCTAAGCTCGTACAGTTACGCTCGTTGCTTCAACAGCATTTACAGTGAGGGAAAAAGTATTTGATCCCCTGCTGATTTTGTACGTTTGCCCACTGACAAATAAATGATCAGTGTATAATTTTAATGGTAGGTTTATTTGAACAGTGAGAGACAGAATAACAACAAAAAAATCCAGCAAGACACATGTCAAAAATGTTATAAATTGATTTGCATTTTAATGAGGGAAATAAGTATTTGATCCCTACTCAATCAGAAAGATTTCTGGCTCCCAGGTGTCTTTTATACAGGTAACGAGCTGAGATTAGGAGCACACTCTTAAAGGGAGTGTTCCTAATCTTAGCTGTTACCTGTATAAAAGACACCTGTCCACAGAAGCAAGCAATCAATCAGATTCCAAACTCTCCACCATGGCCGAGACCAAAGAGCTCTCCAAGGATGTCAGGAACAAGATTGTAGACCTACACAAGGCTGGAATGGGCTAGAAGACCATTGCCAAGCAGCTTGGTGAGAAAGTGACAACAGTTGGTGCGATTATTTGCAAATGGAAGAAACACAAAAGAACTGTCCATCTCCCTCGGCCTGGGGCTCCATGCAAGATCTCAACTCGTGGAGTTGCAATGATCATGAGAACGGTGAGGAATTAGCCCAGAACTACACGGGAGGATCTTGTCAATGATCTCAAGGCAGCTGGGACCATAGTCACCAAGAAAACAATTGGTAACACACTATGCCGTGAAGGACTGAAATCCTGCAGCGCCCGCAAGGTCCCCCTGCTCAAGAAAGCACATATACATGCCCGTCTGAAGTTTGCCAATTAACATCTGAATGATTCAGAGGACAACTGGGTGAAAGTGTTGTGGTCAGATGAGACCAAAATGGAGCTCTTTGACATCAACTCAACTCGCCGTGTTTGGAGGAGGAGGAATGCTGCCTATGACCCCAAGAACACCATCCCCACCTTCCAATATGGAGGTGGAAACATTATGCTTTTGGGGTGTTTTTCTGCTAAGGGGACAGGGCAACTTCACCGCATCAAAGGGACGATGGACGGGGCCATATACCGTCAAATCTTGGGTGAGAACCTCCTTCCCTCAGCCAGGGCATTGAAAATGGGTCGTGGATGGGTATTCCAGCATGACAATGACCCAAAACACACGGCCAAGGCAACAAAGGAGTGGCTCAAGAAGAAGCACATTAAGGTCCTGGAGTGGCCTAGCCAGTCTCCAGACCTTAATCCCATGGAAAATCTGTGGAGGGAGCTGAAGTTTCGAGTTGCTAAACGTCAGCCTCGAAACCTTAATGACTTGGAGAAGATCTGCAAAGAGGAGTGGGACAAAATCCCTCCTGAGATGTGTGCAAACCTGGTGGCCAACTACAAGAAACGTCTGACTTCTGTGATTGCCAACAAGGGTTTTGCCACCAAGTACTAAGTCATGTTTTGGAGAGGGGTCAAATACTTATTTCCCTCATTAAAATGCAAATCAATTTATAACATTTTTGACATGCGTTTTTCTGGATTTTTTTTTTGTTATTCTGTCTCTCACTGGTCAAATAAACCTACCATTAAAATTATAGACTAATCATATCTTTGTCAGTGGGCAACCGTACAAAATCAGCAGGGGATCAAATACTTTTTTCCCTCGCTGTACACGCCACGACCCGCGCGGCATGCGGCGAGTGGCCCACGGGCCCTGACGGACGACGGACGATGATGCCCCCCCCCCCCATGTGCGTGCGTGCATCAGTACGAGTCTGTGCGTGCGGAGAGGGAGGCCATCACCGGCCGCCTGAACCTGGCCGAGGCCACGGTACGGAGAATGACGGCGGCACTGGCGGAGGCTCAGAAGGGGCTCAATGCTGAGCGCAGCCTCCACCAGCACACGGCCACGGTGAGCGTGGCAATGACGATGATGGTAGTGGTGGGCAGAAGAGCGACACGCGATGGCTGACTTAGGCAGCCGTGCTGTTTGTACATTCACTCGTTCCAATCGGTACAGTCATTGCAAACTGTTGTGATGACACCGCCACTTAGTGGCAAATTGTGGTAGTTGCTGGTATTTTTTTACACGGTTGCTGAGCACAGTCCTAAAATGTCAAACGGCCAGTGACAACAGCAATATCAAGTTGAAATAGATACGAGTTTGTATATTTTTTTTATTGAACCAGGTTATAAGAGCTTTGGAAAAGGGAATTCCAAAATGGAGCAGAAAGAGAAGATTCGCGAACTTACGTGTGGTGATTGAGTGGGTGAGTTAGTGAGTGGGTTTGTGAGTGTGTTATTACGACCGATAGTGTGGTGAGTGAGTGGGTGTTGTGAACTTCAATCAATATGGTGATTGAGTGGGTGAGTGAGTGATAGGTTAGTGTGTGAATGGGTTAGTGACCAGCCACCGCATGCCCAAGCAGCTTCTGTTTGGCCGCTTAGAGGCAGCTAAACGGGCAAGGCACATGCTGCAGAACAGGTGGTCTAATGTGGTACAGGATGATGTGGAGGTGAGTGGACTTGCTGAAGACTGATAACAAAGAGTCTGATTTTTGGTATCAAAAATGGCCTTTTTAGAAGAGGCTCGTGATGGACGCTCCCAACAAAAAAAAGTAAAGAGGAACAATGCCCACATCAACGAGCGGAGCCTTGGGTGGCTAAAATACAGCGAGTTGGCACAGTGGAGGGCACAGCTGGTGCATCTGCCAGTCATCTCAGTCAGTCAACCCATGGTACCTGGGTCTATAATAGAGGTTTTTGGGTTAGATCGCGTAAATATATAAATGTGTCGTTAAAATCCGCCACCACCCGACACAGCCAACTTGTAAGGGTTGTCACGTAAACAGAACATGCCAATTCGTCACTAGTACAGCACATCGGTGTGTTGGAGGCAAGCCACAACATTTACCTGTTCTGTTTACGTGACAACCCTTACTAGTTGGCTGTGTCAGCTGGTGGCGGGTTTTAACGACGCATTTATATATTTACGCGATCTAACCCAAAAACCTCTTTTATGGATGATATTGGTCGCGAAAGCCTACGTGTTAAACTGTACCTGGACCTGTCCAGTGACCTGTCCGTAGCGAGCCTTCGACACTTCACGTGGCCTCAACATGCACCTCGCCTGGCACAAGAGCTTTGGTGGCCATTTAGTGGCGAATGGTGGCCGTTTTTGTGACCTCGGTTGAACACAACGTAGATTAGACGCACGTTAAGTGCATACGTATTTGCCTGCAGGAATCCCAGGCTGCCCGCCGGGAGCTGGAGGAGAGTCACCGGGAGCTGGAGGAGAGTCGCCGGGAGCTGGAGGAGAGTCGCCGGGAGCTGGAGGAGAGTCGTAAGGAAGCTCGCCGGGGCGAACTGCTGGCATTGGAGGTGGGGGACCTGGAGCGAGCAAGTTCCGACCTGCGCTCGCGCCTTGCCGAGCGAGACGCCACCGTTGCCGCCATGAGAGACCTCGCAGAGACCCACGAAGCCACCGCCACCACCATGAGGGCCGACCACGGTGGGAGAGAGCGGGGGGAGAGGGAGAAGGAGGGAGGAAGGGATGTGATGGTTGAGAGGGAAACACAAAACAAAGGAGCGGAGCAGAGAAAGACACAAGTTACGGGAAGAAATGAGAGTCAAGGCGGAACATTAAACTAAAACTATTTCACTATTTTTATTTTACGAGGTAAGGCCCACTGAGCTATATAGCTCTTATTCAGAAGCGACCTGGCCACAGAAGATGGGTCAACGAAAGTGCTCATCACATGGAAATTTTATAGCAGCCAAATACTCTAAACACATGTTTCTTAATGTGGAGGGAAAAACCAAAGGACCCGGAGAAAAATCCACCCGACCATGAGGAGAGAGACAAACTCCAGATATACAGGCATCATGGTTGGGATCGTACCCATGACCTCCTGCAACTCGCCTGAGTTGCAGGAGAGACAGGGAAACATGAGCCATAGGAAGATGCAAAATGTATGTGGATATGAGACTAGGAGATGTTAGACACAGGGACACACCCAGGGAGAACCAGGGATGAGCACTGCCCTCATTCCTGGTTGAGCAGTAAATGCAACATTTGCGTTGAACTAGGACCCCTATCTAACAGAGTGGGTCCTTGCCAAGAATCATCTGGCAGTTCACCAGCATTGATTCAAGCAAAGCCTGACTGCTGATAAGACTGAATGTCGAACTAGTCCATTTGTTTCTATCTATGTTGCTTTACCGAAAGACCCAAAGAATATGAATTTCTGCAGTCACGAAAGCTTTAAGTCAAGATTTAGTCCATTGCTGCTGAAATCATGCACTCCCAGAAGGCCTTCCGACTGATGGGATGTGTACAAAATACTTATAATTTTACGTGGAGATGCAGTTTTGGGAAAGGTTCCATCTTGTCTCCCTATTTTGACCTTGTGTCCCTTGCACACTTGCATGCACACTGATGTATAGCCTTAACAGGCTGTTGGAGTAAGTGCTGTTAGCGAGCACTTATGAAGGCTAGCACGGCACATGAGGGGGTTGGTGTCACACACCACGCCCAGCCGCTTTGTTTCCCGAGTGGCATTATTTTCACATCGCACCAGTTACTCATTTGAGGCTGAGTCGACCTAGGGGAGGCCCAGGTCCGATTCAGATAATGGACACTGGTGTTAGCCATGAGCAGGAATTGAACTCGGGCTACCGGATTTGTAGTGTAGTGCGCTAACTGCCACAATACTGCTGCCACACACGCATACACACACATACACATTCACTTATACATGCACACACATTCACACACCCATGCGCGTACGCACACAAACTGTCTGCCCCCATACGCACGAATGTACACACATACGCATTGATGTACGCACACACATGCATCTACACATACTCAAACATGCACACACGTTCACTCAGACTCATTCGCATGCGCAATTTCACGCACACGTGTATATCCACAGAGTCACTAAAAGCTTCTCTGGAGGCATCGGAAGAGCGGAACGGAAAGATGAAGCAGCTTCTTGTCAAGATCAAGAAAGAACTCGCGGATTCTCGTAAAACCGTACGTGCATTCAGATTTCAAATGGATAGTGTTCAAACAGGTGACAACGCTTGAGACCAGGCGCTTCAATACTCGGATTACCTAAGAGAGTTATGCAAAGAAAACAGTGTAAGTTAAGAGAGGGGTGGTCGGGACGAGCTTGATATCCGTGAAATGTATATATAACTAGCTTATAGACCCGCATTGCCGGGGCCAAAATTTTTTTCAAAACTACTCTTAAAAATCTAAGAGCAGTGCGTACTGACTGTGGTGATACCTGCTATCACTACATTAGTACATGCTGACTCTATAGCAGTATTTATCGACTCTATAGCACAAAGTACTCACCTGACAGAGTGGCGTGGTGAGGCCTAGTCCCGTGCAGAGCCTCCGGCCTCGCCTAGATTGTCCAGCCGGCCGAGGTGGCACCTTGGCAGGCTGGGGCTGGGCTGCTACCCCTGACCCCCTTCCCAGCCACAATCTCCCCGGCCGCTCTGCAGTAATATCTACGGCCTTTAGTGGTAGCATCTAGCGACTGTATATATTAGTAACTGCACGCATCGGGGTGGGGGGGACATCACACACTGAAGATTTAAGCTCAGCGTTTAGTGCATTTTTAAAGCATTTTTTACGCGAAAGAAAATGTCCCCCTCACTCCCACCGAAGGCGTGCGACTGGCATGGGCCATCCCCCCCACCAAAGGCGTGTCAGTTGGTATGGTCGTGCACACATCATCTTACCTATAAAAGGCATTCTTTGTCCGTCTGTGTACGCGCGCTTGCAAGGGATTTGGCTCTTGGACGGTGGGGTTTACATCCAAAAAAATTTGACGTGCGGCACGCCCCAAACCCCGTGCTTATCATAGGATATTCCGTTTTCCCATCCGTCACCTTTAAAGTAGTTAAATTAACGATATAGTGCGATTTCTCTTTATTTATTTAGTTACTTTCACCGCTCAAGCTGCCGGGGGTTGCCCCTGGCAACGCACGCGCGGGGGGGGTGGGGTAGCGGCCCAGCCCCCCCAGCCTCGGCCGGCTGGGCAGGTGAGTACTTTGTGCTATAGGGGAAAAATATATTTAAAAACTTCTGAAAACTTTAAAACATAACATACAAATTAAAAGGAAACTCAATTAAAAATAAAATAAAACCCAAGCACGCCAAGATTCGATTCTTTAAATCGCGCAAAGGAATCGAAAGTTGTAGATTTCTTTAGAATCGGCCTGTTCCCATTTAATATAAGTTGGTTGCATGTTGGGAAGTATGCTAAACATTTCGAACAGACACACATTCACAAATTTCCCTTGTATATATAAGATAGATAGTCAGCATGTACTACTCTAGTGATAGCAGGTACCACCACAGTCAGTATGCACTGCTGTAATCATAGCAGGTACCACCACCACAGTATGCACTGCTGTAATCATAGCAGGTACCACCACAGTCAGTGCACTGCTGTAATCATAGCAGGTACCACCACAGTCGCTATGCACTGCTGTAGTGAAAGCAGGTACCACCACAGTATGCACTGCTGCAGTGATAGGCACCACGACAGTATGCACTGCTGTAATCATAGCAGGTACCACCACAGTCAGTGTGCACTGCTGTAATCATAGCAGGTACTAACAGAGTCAGTATGCACTGCTGCAGTGATAGCAGGTTCCACCACAGTCAAGATGCACTGCTGCAGTGATAGCAGGTAACCACCACAGTCGCTATGCACTGCTGTAGTGAAAGGAGGTACAGTCATACCCCTCTTCTCCCCCCCCCCCCAATGTGTGCACTTACTACTATAGGGTCGGTAGATACTACTATTATCGCGCTTAGATAGTATTATTGTAGCTCGGGCGGGGGGATGGTGGGGGGGTGTAGCGGCCCAGCCCCTAGCCTGGCAATGTGTCACCTCCGGCTGGGCAATCAAGGCGAGGCCGCGGGCTCTGCACGGGACTAGGCCTCACCACGGGACTAGGCCTCACCACGGCAATGTAAAGTACAATATTATTGAATCTTTCGCTAAGAACTCCGGTTCATTGTTTACTATTGTGAAACAAATTAGTTGGCAGATATTACAATAATAATGTTTTTGTGCAGATAACAACTCAGGTTCATTGTTTACTATTATGAAACAAATAAGTTGGCAGATATTACAATAATAATGTTTTTGTGCACAAAACAAAATTTTCATTATTAGGTTGCTAAATATTTCCTTTTTTAGCTGTGTTTTTATGATGCTGAGACGGTGTACTGGCAGTCTGTGCTGTGACCTGCTGTCTTCTGATTAATTAACGTCAGTGCACTGGCACACTATTATCTACACTGCTAATTTTGCTTTTGCCCATTATGAGTGTATGCCAGTCTATAATCTGTTGCCTACTTATTTACCTCACTCAGTGTACTGCCAGCTTTTCATGTCGACTGTATTCTGCTTTTTCACCTGCTGCCCGTATTGCCAGCTTTTTATGTCGACTGTAGCGATGCTTATGTCATTGAGTCGGCGTACTAGCAATCTATAATCTAGACTGTAGCCTGCTTCTCAACTTACCTGTGCATACTGCTGCTCTTTAATGTAGACTTATTTCAGCTTATTTCTTAAATGCATTTCTATTGTTTTTATTGCTCACATCACGCGTTTTCCTGATACGTAGTACTGCGATGCTGATTAATATGTTATACTGCTAAATACGTTGGACTTTCTTAGCTACAGACCATTGCATTTCGTCTATCGTTTTGTTACATTCGTGGGAACATCACCCATTTATATTTTGCCATACTGCACCTTTACTTTCCACCAAAGCGGGGAGCACACAGGGAGGTTCAATGCCCCAAATATTGTTGACCTTGCTTTCTTACGGTGGGTGAGGGACATTGTGAGAGAGACATTGTTCTTCCATACCAAGTAAACACCATCGCACGATTTCCTGACACTAACAGAGCATACGATGCCCTACAATAACACATTTTCCTGTCGCAAGGCCAAGATGGTTACCCTGTCAAGGTTCTTCCAATTACAAAGCTGCAGGACAAAGACATCCTCGCAAAACTGTCTCTAAAAAAAAACTTCTATTCCTTCGTGATCATGGACAGAAGAGGAAACCACATTGTGGTGCGCCAACCTCCTTCACCAGTATATTGTCGATGAGTATGTCAACATTGAGAGTGAGCGCCTTCTTTACATTCAACTGAATCAAAACCGCCTGCTTGTGAACAGTATGCTCATCTCTGGGACGCCATCAATGCTGAAGGAGATGCAAACGCTCACAATGTGGGCAGATTGGTTGTTTTTCCTTCATGTATGAGAAGACTCAGGATGCCATGACGTACATCAGCCAATATGCCATTCCCCATCTCTTCATCAACGTCACTTGGAATCCCAAATGAAAGGAGATCCAGGTTTACCTTTATACAAACTAAAAGCCACCAGACAAACATTACATCTTAGCGAGGGTCTTAAAACTCAAAGTTTATGACCTCATGATGCTTATTACGACCAACGAAGGCGGCGTCTTTGGATAGACAAGCAGTAACTTGCACACCATTGGGTGGCAAAAGCGTCGTCTTCCTCATGCTCACATTTCGCTATGGATGAGGGAAACAATTCATGCAAGTCACATTGACTCATTTATCAGTGCTGAGCTACCTCACCCCCATCAAGACCCTGCCCTTTTTCTATGTGGTCTGCAACCAAATGGTCCATGGCCCATGTGGCCAGTTCTATCCAAATTTGCCATGTATGCAAGACCACAGGTGTACCAAGAGGTATCATTGGAACTACTTGAAAGACACTCAGTCGGCCCATGATGTTTATCGTCTATATTGTCACAGAAATACTGAGCATGGTGGATTTCAAACAACGCTCAGACCTGCCACTAACTCGCTAATTAAGGTTCACAACCGGTGGATCATTCCCTACTGCCCTCTCCTGTGCAAGATCTTCCAGGCCCACTTTAATGTTAAATTCTGCTATTCTAAAAAAAGCCATCAAATATGTTTGCCAATACATCAACAAAGGCTCTGACATGGCTGTCTTTGCCTTACAAAACAGAGCGGCAAAGTGTGCATGAGCTCAAACTTTTTTTCCAAGGAACATACATCAACAACAATGAGGCCATTTGCTGAATTATTGGCTTTCCCATCCATGACCGTTCCCCCACAGTCATCCATTTGGCACTTCACCTCCAAAATGGTCACCACATCTATGTCACCAAAGGAAATGCCCAACAACAGGCCCTGGCTCCACAAGATACCACCCTGATGGCTTTCTTTGTTTTGTGCCCAAGTGACCCATTTGCTGCCAACCTGCTCTACCATTAAGTTCCTTCCTACTATACATGGAATGCTAAAAAGAAATGGAAGCGACGTGCTGCTTATGGTGATTCGGGTGCCTTAAGACGAGTCTACACAGTTCATCCCAACAATCAGCACTGCTACTTTCTCCCAATGCTTGTCCATGTTGCCAAAGGGCACAAATATTTCCAAGACCTATAATCAGTGGAACGAGTTGTCTGTCAAACATACAGGGAAGCTTGCAATTATTGCGCATGATCACCATCTTCATAAAGCTATCACAGAAACTTCTGTTGGTCAGTCTCCTTTCCAACTGACATTGCTCTTCTGCATACATCTTCAACCCCATGGGACTCTGGCAAAACTACAAAGAGGGCATGATTGAGGACATCCTGCACGGAGCTCAATGACAAAATACAAACCTCGACGTCAAGTTTTCAAACAGGCCCTCATCCTCCTTCAGGACAAACTGCACTCCATTGCTGGAAAATCTCACGTCTATGGAACTACCAACACCCTACAGGGACAACCTGCATGCCCTTGCTCAAGAGATCCTATGTGAAATATGCTATTATGCTTTTCAGCGTCTTAAATTTATTTAGGAAATTTTACCAAAGCTGATGGATGCACAAACAGAAGCCTACACAAAAATCTTGGAAGACATTGAGACTACAAATCGAGTCTTTTTTTTCCTTGATGCACCTGCCAGTACTGGGAAAACCTTTGTTTTCAAACTGCTCCTCGCTAAGGCTCGCCAGAGAGAGAAAAATGCTCTAGCTGTGGCATCATCAGGGATTGCTGTGTAAGTCGATGTGTGTGTGTGAGTCCATGTGTGTCTGCGTTTAGATCCATGTGCGTGTGTAAGTCGATGTGTCTGTGTCTTTTTTGCCTGGGCAACGCCAGATGTCTGTGTGTGTATGTCGATGTGTGTGTGGAAGTCCAAGTGTGCATGTCAGTCCATGTGTGTGTGTCAGTCGCTGTGTGTGTGTTAGTCGATGTGTGTGTGTACGTTGTATGTGTGTGTGAGTCCATATTTGTGTGTGTGAGTCCCTATGTCTGTGTGGAAGTCGATGTGTGTGTGAGTCAATATGTGTGTGTAACTCCATGTGTGTGTATCTAAAGTCCATGTCTGTGTGTGTGAGTCTGTGTGTGTAGGCCAATGTGTGTGTGAGTCTATGTATGTGTGTGTGAGTCGATGTGTGTGTGTAAGTCCATGTGTGTGCGTGGCTCCATGTGTGTGTGTCTTAGTCGATATGTGTGTGTATAAGTCTATATATGTGCTTAGGTCGGTGTGTGTGTGAGAGTCTACGTATGTGTGTTAAGAGATGGGGCCTTACCATCAGCCCCACCAAAACTAAGCACCTGCCTGGGTATTTTGTACCATTGAACACTCCACCCCCACAACTCCCAATCGGTGATGGGGCAGTTGTGGAGAGAGTGGAGAGTTTCCCATACCTGGGCAGTGTGCTTATGACCGGCTCCAATTTAACAGCAGAGGTCTCACTCCGAATCAGTCGAGCGGCAATATCTTTTCATCGGTTGCGTAACGCTGTGTGGAAGCTACCTGGTCTGTCGCTCCGCACTAAGCTTCAGGTCTTCTCGGCCACGGTCATTCCCTCCCTTCTCTACGCTTGCGAAACGTGGACCCCCCTAATGGAACATCTTCGCCGGTTAGAAACATTTGGACTAGCTTGCCTACGATCCATCCTGGGTTTAACCAGGCTGGATTATGTGAGGAGCTCACAAATCCTTGAAAGATCTGGGCAAGGTCCCATCGGTGAGCTCCGCCGGCAGGCAAGGCTGCGTTGGCTGGGTCATGTAGCCCGCATGCCCAGCCACCGCATGCCAAAACAGCTTTTGTTCGGCCGGATAGAGGGGGCTAAACGGGTGCGGCACGGGCTAGAGAAGAGATGGAGTGATGTGGTACAGGAGGACGTGGAGCTGAGTGGACTTGCCGATGACTGGTACCAGTGGTGTCAAGATCGGCCTCTGTGGAGGAGGCTCGTGAAGGACGCAACTGGGCAGTTGGAGGTAGTCGCCCTCCAACAACAACGGAGGGCGGAGGAGCGACGCTTGCAACAACGAGCGGAGCGCCAGGTGGCTAAAGCACAGCAGGTTGGCACAGTAAGGGGCACAGGTGGTGCATCAGCCAGTCATCTCAGTCATCTTAGTCAGTCAACCCGTGGCACTTGGGTCTGCCCCGTGACCTCCTGCCCGCGGGCGTTCGACACTTCACGTGGCATCAAGGTGCACATGGCCTGGCGCAAGCGTCGTGGTGACGTCACCGCCACTTAGTGGCGAATGGCGGTTGTTGTTGTTGTATGTGTGTGTGAGTCGCTGTATGTGTGTGTTTATTTGCGTGTGTAACTCCATGTGTGTATCTAAAGTCGATGTCTGTGTGTGTGAGTCCATATGTGTGTGTAGGTCGATGTGTGCGTCTGTCTTTTCCGCCCGGGCAACGCCGGGTACTTACCGCAAATAAATAAATAAACAAAGAGAGCGCGAAAAACGCACTAATTCGCTAATTAAACTAATTAAAAGTTGACGGATGTGAAAAAGGAATAGCGCTTGCTCACGGCGGGGCTTACGGTGTGGTACCTGGCTATTTTTATTTAACGTAAACTTCACCGTTGGAGAGCCAAATCCTCGCAAGCACGCCAACACACACAAAGCCACAAACCGACAAACAGACAATTTTTGACTTTTATAAATTTAGGTAGATGGGTATTGTTTATAGAAATGTTTAAGTTCAATAGGCAATACTTACTTTGACTGGGGTCCTCCTCACGTGTGATTGCTGACGGGTTGGGTTGTCTGATTGTACGGCTACTCAGGAGGAGGTTTTGGTCAAGTACACCATTACCTGTTCCCATACACACAAAACACGCACACTGTCACACACGCATACACGCAGAGGCACACGCCTACACAAAGACAAACAGACATTGTTGGGGAAAGTGCTGTTCGCGAGTAGCACCCATGACGACTGGCATGACACATGATGGAGTGTGTGGCCAGCACCACGCCTTTGTCTCCTTATTAGAGATGTTTATATTGCACCAGGTACTCATTTGAGCCTGAGTCGACTACATACACAGCCAGTCACACATACTTGATCATCCAAACTCGCAAACACGTGTGTGCACAATCACGTACAAATACTCTTCTCCACACAGCCACACACTCTTTCTCAATCACACACAAAAACGCAAAGTTCCCCCTTATAGTCTTAACAGACTGTTGGGGCAAGTGCTGTTAGCAAGCATCTGTGAAGGCCAGCACACGAGGGGGTGTGTGGCCCCATGCCCGGCTTCCTTTGTCTCCCCAGTGCAAATTTTTAGACACCGCATCAGGTACTCATTTAGACTGAGTTGATCTATTGGAAGCCCAGGACCAGTTAAAAAAATCGTCACTTGTGTTGGCCATAAGTGGGAATCGAACTCAGGTTGCCAGGTCTGTAGTGCTGTGTGCTAACTACTGTGCCACTTCTCCCCACATACACATAAAGACAATCCCATGCAATGTAACAACGTTCGATTACATATACGTAGACTCACCTCGCACTCGCACACATAAATGCACGCAAAATCACACGTTGCACAAAGTGGCGGGGTCCGGTATCCATGAGCATTATTGCCCATAACTTGAGCATTATTTATAATGCTATGATAAACTTTTATAACCGCAGTACTTATCTCTGACATGGAGCGACATAGACGCACGCAGCTCACTCTCGAAGCCGTGTGCGGCTACTGCTGCCATGCCTGCTTCTTCCTTGCGTGATGCCTGCTGCTGCCATGAAGAGTTTTATTTATGGAGGTGGACACCCACAATAAACTTGCGTGTCTTCTCCTCGCCTGCAAAGTTCACTCTTTCTCAGCACCAAACTGCAATTAACCTTGCAACCAATTGGCTGTCATTTTGCAGCTGACTGTCTGCAGCCTTGCAACTGATTGGCTGGTGCAGTGGAAGCGATGATGTGATCCTGAGCGACCTATGCCACTCACGCAGCGTTGCTATGTCACTAGGAATGTGTGCAAGTAGTTGACGTTTTGACCGAGACCATTTTAGATCCTACGACAATCGCTACCTGTCAGATTTTACGCACATTTTCTGTACTCAGGCCCTTGGGTCACCAAAATGACAAAAAAATAACATGAAAAAAAAACAAGTACAACAATGAATAAAATATTATTTCAAGCAAAAACAATAAATTGGAATAAAAATCTGAGCGCTTGAATCAAAAATGAGAGGTGGCCAAATGGCAGCAGGCTTATAATGGCCAACTCGGGTTAAAATTTGACTAAACCAGGGTCTCATAACGGCCATGGGAGAGGCAATAATGCCTTATTTTCTTATATCACAACGTTCATTCATGCAAAGTGCAAATCAAACACTGCCGTAGAATTTGTAACGCGCACAGATTTCACATGGAGGCACAGTTGTCCACAGATAGGCGGGAAGCCAGCCAGAACTGGTACCAACAGTCTGCCAAGCTCTGCGGTCCTATATTGGGATGCATGTCAACTCTATTCATGAGTGGTGACATGGCACACAATGAGTTTATACCTCCCGAGATCTTTAAGGTCCATCGTGGCAAGAGGAGGCCATTGTGTGCCAGCTTTATGATCCAAAATTGTATGTATGTTGAACTTCTTTGGCACGGTACGTAGCCAACCACGCTAATCGGAGGTGCAAAATCTTTGCCCTCTATTTCAAAGACTTTGGCTGGACCCCCCTAAAATAAGAGTTACGTGAGATTCAGTTAAACTTTCCCAGGTTAACAGCGAGCATTGTAGAAAATATGGAAATAAAAACGTGTTTATACATGTGGGAAGAAACTGGTGCATGCGAAGAAAGTTCATACGTGCGATGAGCTGTCAACCACTGGGAAATTTGGGTTGGGTCCATCTCATACTTGGGGTTCATAATAGCCGTGCAATGTGAGCTCATCACTTTTCTTCATAGTAATGACAGGTTGTGGCCAAGTCGCTAACCCCGCATCGTTTCAATATCACTTTGTCACCAGGAAACCGAGCAGCAGGCCACTCTTGACACCTCACAGGCTCAGTTGGAGCAAGCCCAGCAACAGATGGAAGAACAAAAGGTATTGATCCTGTCATCCGTTCATTCGTTTCTTCATTTGCAACTTTATTCGGGTACTGATCATTGGTGTCATTGTGTAGAATTTAAGGTAACAAAATAAGCAGACAATATGTCTCCACATATCTGTCCCTTCACTTACAAAATGAAAGTATTAGTTTCTATTTTGTTGAGTGCCAAGAAGTCATCGCTGCATGTACTACTTCAGCTCGCCTGTGGCCGAGAGATGTATATTTATGTTTGTAATGTTGATTATATCCGTATATTAAACTTGATTTGAAGCATTCATGACTGCAGGAATTACTCTTTGGTCCTTTCGATAAAGTCACGTCGAAAGAAAATAAATTTAATAATAGAATATGACGTTTCGATTGCAACAACCAACCGTCATCGGGTAGAACTAAATTTGACAGAGAAACAAAACACAGGCACGGAGACACACAGACGGACACACAAGCAGAGAGAGACAACACAGAGACGCACAGAGAGACACACAACATAGACACACAGAGAGACACACAACATAGACACACAGAGACCCAATGCCTCTGTGTCGAGGCCTTGAATAGAGAGAGAGTGGGGGGTGGAACAGAGAGAGAGGTGGGTCTGCTGGAGCAGCTGCTGGAACAGAGAAATAAGCATGTCAATGAAAGACTCAACAAGACTGGTACATTTTAGAGAGAGTTGTGTGGAAATACACCCCGAAGCGACCGGGGTAGAGAAATAGCGAATGAATCTATGAGAGCCTGGTAAATTTTAGAGAGAGAAATAGGCCGTTTGAGAAAACAAATTTCGAAAAAAATGTAAATGTAATGCAATGCAACACAGAGCGTCGGCTAACACACAGTTAACGCATAACCTGGTTGATTACGATCTCCAAAGATTGCTAAATTTGAAGTTAAGTGTGAAATTTGACAGAGACACATAGAGAGAGAAAACAAACTTACATGCTCAGTCACACAGAGAGAGAGAGAGAAAACAAACTTGCATCCTCCCCGTCGAGGTGGTTCTAACTTTATTTGAAGCTTTCGTGACTGCAGGAATTACTATTTGGTTCTTACGGTAAAGTCACGTAGAAAGAAAATTAATTAAATAACAGAATACAATGTTTCCATTGCAACACAAGCAACCGTCATCAGGTAGAACTAAATTTGACAGAGACCAAACACGGGCACGGAGACAGACAGACACACAAGCAGAGAGAGACACACAATATAGACACAGAGACCCAATGCCTTTGTGTCCAGACCTTAAATAGAGAGAGGGGGGGTGCAGAGAGAGAGGTGGGTCTGCTGGAGCAGCTGCTAGAGCAGAGAAATAAGCATGTCAATGAAAGACCCAACAAGACTGGTACAATTTAGAGAGAGTTGTGAGGGAGAGAAAGAGTGAATGGACCTTTGAGAGCCTGGTAAATTTTAGAGTGAGAAATAGGCAGTTTGAGAAACATTTTTTTAGCAAAATCAGAGTAATTACATTATTATTTGTCACATTTCTAGCAAATAGAAATATAAGCAACAAGAACTGTGTCCCCTAAAGAAAAAATCATTCACACACATAAATCGGTGTTGTGCATTGAATTTCCTGTAACATAAGTCGACTCGGGCAGATTATTGTCAGACTGATCATTGTAACAATTGTGGCTCGATGTTAACTACCTTGCCCGGTATACAGGAAGTAGTTGGTTCCATCCCAACACCTGCTGTTTATTTGAAGTTTGCAGATTGTCCCTGTGGTCGCGTGGATTTTTCTCGGAGTCCTCCGGTTTTTCCCTCCACACTTGGAAATTTCTATATTTTGGCTGCTGTTAATTTCCACGTGATAAGCCACCTCTTTGAGCTATCATTTGCGGCCAGGTTGCTTCTGAAAAAGGGCTATATTGCTCAGTTGGCCTTAACTGCTCAAATAAAAATAACTACAATTTAATTACAATTAAGTTACATAAACATTAAATGGTTATTGGGTGACTTGTGCTCATACGCTAAAAGACATGGATGTCGAGTGCGATGACGTGACACACCGCGTGGACGTTGCCGATCCCCCAGCTCCTGCTGGCGGAGGTGAGCGGGGAGAAGCACCGCTGCCAGGAGCAGTCCCGCTTGGCCGCCCTGCAGCACCAGGCCGCCGTGACGGCGCTCACGCTCAGGGCCACCATGCTGGAGGAGGCATGCGCCTCCACCAAGGTCGGTGGCTACGAGCCCCGGGTCAGAGCTTCGGGCAAAGTTCGGAGCTCAAAGTTGGGGGGGAGAGGGAGCGAGGGGGGGGGGGCATTCATCCACGCTCTTGCCTTGCGGTTTGACGAGCCTTGACGAGCCATCGCAATGTGTAGACATGAGACATGAATCATTTATTTTTTTTGTCTGATTTGCGTTCTCGTTTGTACAGTCTGATTTGCTTTGTCTCGTTTGTACAGTCTTATTTGCATTGTCTTGTTTGTGCTATCTTATTTGCGTTGTCTCAATCATTGTGTATAATTTATTTGATGTATTGTTTTCCTGTAGTGTGTGTCTAGTTTGTGGTTTTTATCATGTTGCTGTGTTGTATTTCGTTTTTTTACAGTCCTGTTTCATCTCACTTGTATTATCTCATTAATATTGTGAAACGTAAACAGTTTTCTGTCTTACTACGTAGCTTGTATTGCTTGTATGGTTTGTGCACTGTCTTGCGTGTTCTCTCTGGTTTGCACAGGCGACTATGCTTGTGGCTATTGCTATTAACACTCCTCATGTCTCGATGTGTCTTTCTGTCTGTCCACCTCTGTCTTCTTGTCTCTCACTCCTCCCCATGCATCCCCCCCCCACGTATCTTCTTGTCTCTCTATATCAACCGTTGCCTTCCCGTGTCTTCCCGCACCTCCCCGCATCTCCCCGTGTTTCTCCGTGTCTTCCCATGTCTTCTGCACCTCCCCGTGTTTCTCCGTGTTTCCCCTGCACCTCCCCGCTGCATCTCCCAGGCGGAGTTGAAGTCGGTGCGTGCCGAGTTTGATGCCTACAAGGTGCGCGTGCACAGTGTCTTCAAACAGCAGAAGTCTCGCTCGCCCGCCGTAGCCCCAACCGACCTGGCTCAGAAAGAGATGTGAGGCATTCCCTGGTCGAGGTTTGGTTTTTTGAATGGAGCGCACCCTCCTTTTACACCCTGACATCCCAAAGATGCTCCGATAAGGACGGTTGGCTGCGCGCCGTGCGAAAGAAGTCCAACATGCTTACGTACATACAAGTGCTAAGAGACTTGCATCACATGATAGCGCAGGTATTTTTGTGGTTTTGAAGGGCACCTCCAAGTGGCAGCTGTCCCTATGCAGGGTAAGGTGACTCAGCACCTGACCTACAAGCAATTGATAGCCTGCCACTAGGGGGCGACGATTGCGATGTGTAATCCGTAATTGAGTAGTTTGGTTTAACTTTAGGGCACGAGTTCAGTTGCACTGTCCTGAGAGTATAAACCCTGTCACCTACTGGGAAATGAAGAGTACTGCGAGAATGTGTAGTGAGGCAGAAAAGCTTATTTTTGTATCAGTGACAGATTGGACACCGAAGGTGATGGCAGTTTTTAGTGTAGTATTTACTGAACACCAAAGCAAAATACAGAAAAACTAAACCAAACGTTATTTTACCAGGTAAGGCCCACTGAGCTACATAGCTCTTTCTCAGAAGCAACCTGGCCACAAATGAAAGCTCACTCGAAGTGGCTTATCAAGTGGACATTTATAGCAGCCAAATACTCTAAATGCATGTTTTTAAATTTGTAAAGAAAATCTGGAGCCGGAGAACAATCCCCATGACCACGGGGAGAGAGACATGCAAACTCCAAATATACAGGCGTCAGGGTCAGTATCAAACCCACGACCTCCTGTATATACCAGGCGAGGTAGTTAACATCTCCCTACTTCTCTCAACAAGTCCTGTCAGGTGTAAATGTGTATGTGACGCTGACAACACGGGAGTGGTGTTACTTGTACCCCCCCCGTAGGCAACACCCCGGCCCTCTCTTGATCTCGTGTTCGAGACCCACGCAATCACAAACAATGCCACGGTTGTTGCGGCGGCGTCACCAGTCAGCCTGTTCCACCTCGTTACAGACCGTATGGGGATCGTTGTCACCACCGCAGAACAGGCTGGTGAAAATGAATATCAACACTGTCACTAAATACATCCCTTCTCTCAATGTGAATATTCACATTGATTCCGGCTATTAACACTGAGTTAAATAATCATACTCTTTGGTTCTATTCGGTAAAATCACGTAGGTAAAAAAGAAATTAAAAATGAAAGAAAAGAAACAATTAAAACACGACGTTTCGGAGGCAACGCAAGCTTCCTTCATCAGGTGGGACCAGTCACAGCCAAAATCACTGCACCAAGTGGCGAGGCTCTGGGAACCCAGCGCTTAAATACAGGTCAAGGTAGGGGGGGGGGTGGGAGGGGCCATGTGGGGGGACTTCAGTGGGGTGCGGAGGGATGGGTCGCTGTGTGTGTAGGGATGAGTTAATCCGTCTTTTGTTGTGTGTAGGGTGAGGGAGATGGGTCACTGTGTGTGTGCAATATAAACGGAGTTAATCCTTCTTTTGTTGCATAGAAGGAGCGGGAGATGGGTCACTGTGTGCAATATAAATGGACAGAATATCGGCCAGGATGTGCTGTAAGGGGGTAGTACATAGCAGGCGTTACTAAAAAGATTTCCAAAATTCTAAACAAACACAAGATCCAAGTCCGGTTCAATACACTACACAAAATTCGTGATCTGATCCCATCCGTAAAGGATGTCATCCCTGACTTACAGTACCCCGGTGTTTACAAATTGAGCTGTACCTGTGGTGATTGTTATATCGGGGAGACAAAACGACATATCTCTGACCGAATTCGCGAACGTAAATCAGATTTGAAACACGGCAGAACGAATTCATCTGCTGTGGCTGATCACTGTTACAACGCTATGGGTGATCATGAGATTGTCTTTTCCGATACCAAGGTTCTTTGTAAACCTACTGGTTATCACCAAAGATTTGTCCACGAAGCAATTCAGATCTACAAACACAGACACAATTTCAACCGAGAAGATGGTTTCAAATTAAGCAACCACTGGAAAAACGTTTTGAATCATACCAAACACTAACTAATTTCTAACAGCAATTTCAAGCAGTGGTATACCAAACATATTATTTCCGAACTTTTCTATTTTCCTTTTTCTACTACCCCCTTACAGCACATCCTGGCCGACATTCTGTCCGGTTATATTGCACACACACACACAGTGACCCATCTCCCGCGCCCTCCACACAACAAAAGACGGATTAACTCATCCCTGCACACACACAGCGACCCATCCCTCCGCACCCCACTGAAGTCCCCCCACGTGGCCCCTCCCACACCCCCCCCCCCCTACCTTGACCTGTATTTAAGCGCTGGGTTCCCAGAGCCTCGCCACTTGGTGCAGTGATTTTGGCTGTGACTAGTCCCACCTGATGAAGGAAGCTTGCGTTGCCTCCGAAACGTCGTGTTTTAATTGTTTCTTTTCTTTTTAATTTTTTTACCTACATGACTTTACCGAATAGAACCAAAGAGTATGAATTCTTGCAGTCACGAAAGCTTCAAATCTAGAATGAAATAATCATGTCCATTTCCAATAGAAAAATAACTTTAGATCTTTGTTTATAAGCATCTATATTATCTTATTACAGTATAAAGTGACAACAGAATCACTCTTTCTTGCCTGTTCAAATTTGAGTTCTCAGCCTCACTGATGTCTCCTCCTCTGGCAATGTTGTCTCTTACTATCTGAACCGCCGTTTGTATAGGTGAGTTCATTACATAAACTATGTCTGGACATTGTAGACATCAAAGCAATTGTAGTATTTGCGAGGAATATTTTCCGTAGATGCTCGTAAATTGCTAATTTTGCGGATAATGATATTAGCCTACGAATATGGTATGCGTGGTATCTGCAGATGCTTCTTAAGCATCGAAAAGTTCTCTCTCTGCCTCACCTCTTTTTGTCATCACTTTATCTCATTGCTTTATCTCAATCACTTCGCTTCACATTCTCTCTCATCACTTTATCTCATCACTTTCTTTTTCTCGATGCAGTAGTCGTGTAGAGTTCCGGATTTGATTAGGGGATAGACAAAATCGCAGATAACAAGTTTGTGAATAACGAGGAATATCGTATCACACTTTTAACAATCGGTAGAAACCAGTCGAAACCAGTTTGCGAACATTAAAGCTACTGATATCACACAACCAAGCATGAACTTGTATTGACCTCATGGTACAGTGAGTGTTAGATCACCATCTTGTTACAAACCGAACAAGTCTCACGAAAACATGCCGCCAACTCAATTGTACATCATCAGCCAGAAAGATAAAAGAAAACACAGTTTATAGTGACCGGCGGTCTGCACCCTGTAGTTAAATAGCTTGAGACGGGCTGTGCTGGTAGCCACCCACGTGGCCTGAATCCAGAACTGTGGAGGCACTGAGGGTTGGTGGATCACACGCAAAGATGTTTGTTAAACTCCCTTTCCGTGGGCGTCGAGGAGGAGCATCCATAACCCTGGCTCGCCAGGAGAAGACAGTACAGCAAGATAGCTCAACGAAGTGGCTTATCATGTGGACCTGGTTGCAAAAAATACCCTTGAAACTACCTGTGTTGTGTGAGTGGTGTGTGTTGCCTGTGTTTGGGAAGTGTGTTGCGTGTGTTCTTCGTGTGTGAGGAGCGATAGTGTTGTACTTGGCGCAATGCACTACAAATCTGGTGACCCGAATTTTATTCCTGCTCACGGCCAACATCAGTGAAAAATATCTTAAACAGTCCCGACACCTCCGCAAGATCGACACAGCATTAAATGTTGTGCGGTGTGTTAACAGCATGGGAGACAAAGACGGTCGGGCGTCATTCTGGCCAAAACATTGCCTTGTGTGCCTTTCCGGCTTCATAGGTGCTCGTGAACAGCACTTGCCCCAACAGTATCTTAAACAGTCCCGACACCTCCGCAAGATCGACACAGCATTAAATGTTGTGCGGTGTGTTAACAGCAGGGGAGACAAAGACGGTCGGGCGTCATTCTGGCCAAAACATTGCCTTGTGTGCCTTTCTGGCTTCATAGGTGCTCGTGAACAGCACTTGCCCCAACAGTCTTTTGAAGTCTATGCGGGGGATGTTTGTCTTTGTTAGCGAGCGCCTGGCGGGGCTGGTGGATCAGCTGACGCTGCAGCTGCAGGAGACGCGCGTGGCGCTGGATGTGAGCCGAGGGGACGCTGAGGAGCTGGTGGCACAGGTGGAGGTCCTGACGGGGAGGCACGCACTCGCCCAGAGGGAGCACGCGGAAACACAGGCCAGGCTGCAGCACGAGTGGGTCTCTCACACAAACACACACGCACACGCGAATGGGTCTCTCTCTCTCACACACCCACATGAGTGGGTCTCTCTCACATAACAGCAACTGCTGTTCACCACAAAGTGGCAGTCAAATCACCACAACGCCTATGATAGGCTAGGTATACGTGGAGTGTCGGAAGGCTCACTGGCAGGAAGTCACGGAACAGACCCAGGTGTCATGGGTTGGCCGACTGAGATAACTGGCAGATACACCACCTGTACTTTCCGCTGTGTCAACTTTCTCTGTTTAGCCGCCTGTGCTCGGCTCGTTGTGAGCGTCACCTCCTTACCGAAAGAACTAAAGAAGACCTCCTTCACCGTCCGTTGTTGTTGGAGGGCGTCTGCCTCCAACTCCCCAGTAGCGTCCTTCACGAGCCTCCTCCACAGAGGCCAATCTTGACACCACTGGTACCAGTCATTGGCAGGTCCACTCAGCTCCACGTCCTCCTGTACCACATAATCCCAGAATATCAAATCCTTCAGTGACGAAAGCTGTAAGTGAAGATAAAGAATTTATTAATAGGAAGATTATGTTTTCAAAAATAGGCGTATTTGAACGTGAGTTGACACAATAATAAAGATGAAAGTAATGGCCAAGTTATAAGCAAAAAATATTAGGTGTACGATTTGTATGGTGTGTATGGCATTGTGACAAATGCTAAATGTATTAAATGTTTGTAGCTACGTGATGTAACAGAAAGAGGCAAAGAATATGAAATCCTGCAGTCACGAAAGCTATAAGTGAAGACAAATAATGTAATAATAGGAAGGTGATATTTTAAAAAATAGGTGTATTAGAACGTGAGTTCACACAAGAATAAAGATGATATTTGAATGTGAGTTCACACAATAATGAAGATGAAAGTAATGGCCAAGTAATAAACCAAAAATAACTGGGAGATTGCGCACTGCACAGACAATAGTGGCACTATGGTAACCCCATTGCCTTCTGGCAACAAAGCCATTGGAAGTTGCAACAAAGCTCATGGTCGCGACTGTATAGTGCTCAGCCAATAGCAGCGGCCTAAGGGACTCGGCAATTATGATTCCGTGTCTGGTAGACGCTTGTTAAGGCCCTTCCCATTGTGCAATCCATAGCCTCAGCTGAAACTTTCGCACCCCCCTATAGCCACTGAAAGTTTTACGGTAAACAAAGTGTGCCCACTTCTAACATTGTCGTTTCAATGTACAAACAATTCGAATCATTTAAAACGTAATAACATGTGCAATTTTAGTGTGAGTGGTTTATTGAGCAGTGCTTTAGTCAAAGGTAAGTGTTGCATAGTGAATATTTTTGGGATATCCCGTACCTCCATATACCCCGCAGGGTCTTGTTTTGTTTGTAAAAAGTGGTATACCCCGCGGGTTATATGCAGGAAAATACGGCAATTTTTTGGCTTATAACTTGGCCTTGCTTTCATTTTATTGTCAACTCACCTTAAAATATCTTTATTATTGTGTGAACTCACATTCAAATACACCAATTTTTGAAAATATCACCTTCCTATTATTACATTACTTATCTTCACTTGCAGCTTCTGTGACTGCAGGATTTCATATTCTTTGCCACCCGGGTAAAACTACATGGCCGGGAGTCGGAGCCATTGCCTGTACACCTTCGGGTGCGACAGGGATGTCCTCTGGCTCCCACATTATTTTGCATTTTTTTTTACCACGTACTTCGTGAAGCCTTTAATAGCTGTACTGGAGGAATTCCCATCTGCTACAGATACAATGGGAGGCTGATCGATGCCCAGTGCGATCAAGGTATGGCTCCTTATTGCTCAACCATGTTATGTGTGCCCATGATCTGGTAATTGCTGCTCACTCAGAGGACGAGTTGGAAGCGCTGCTGCTGAACCTGGAGCTTGCCACTAAGAGGTGGGGCCTTGCCATCAGCCCCACCACAACTAAGCACCTGCCTGGATATTTTGTACCATCGGACACTCCACCCTCACAACTCCCAATTGGTGATGGGCTGCTTGTGGAGAGAGTAGAGAGTTTGCCATACCTGGGCATTGTGCTCATGACCGGCTCCAGTTTAACAGCAGAGGTCTCACTCCGAATCAGTCCAGCGGCATTGTCTTTTCATCGGTTGCGTAACGCTGTGTGGAAGCTACCTGGTCTGTCGCTCCGCACGAAGCTTCAGGTCTTCTCGGCCACAGTCATTCCCTCCCTTCTCTACACATGCGAAACGTGGACCCCCCTAATGGAACATCTTCACCGGTTACAAACATTTAGGCTGGCCTGCCTACGATCCATCCTGGGTCTAACCAGGCTGGATTGTGTGAGGAGCGTACAAATCCTTTAAAGATGTGGAACAAAGTCCCATCGGTGTGCTCCTCCGGCAGACAAGGCTGCGTTAGCTGGCCCATGTAGCCCGCATGCCCAGCCACCGCATGCCTAAACAGCTTTTGTTCGGCCGGACCGTGGGGGCTAAATGGGTGCAGCACGTGCTAGAGAAGAGATGGCATGATGTGCTACAGGAGGATGTGGAGCTGAGTGGACTTGCCAATGACTGGTACCTATGTTCTCAAGATCGGCCTCTGTGGAGGAGGCTCGTGAAGGACGCTACTAGCCAGTTGGAGGCAGTCGTCCTCCAACAACAACGGGGGTCGGAGGAGCTACACTCACAACAATGAGCGGAGCGCCGGGTGGCTAAAACACAGCAAGTTGGCACAATAGAGGGCACAGGTGGTGCATCAGCCAGTCGTCTCAGTCAGTCGACTTGTGGCATCTGGGTCTGCCCCGTCACCTCCTGCCAGCGAGCGTTGGACACATCACGTGGCTTTAAGGTGCACATAGCCTGCTACAAGCCTCGTGGTGACGTCACCGCCACTTAGTGCCGAATGGCGGTTGTTGTATGGTATTGTGATATTTTTTACACTTTTCATTATTTTTCTATCTACGTGACTTTACCGAAAGACACAATCAATGTACATTAATAATGTTTGTGTGCAGACAACTATTTTTTGTATTCCTTGCTTCTTTCGCTCAACTCTTGTACACAGAAACCTGGTATTTTTATAATCACCTTCAAAATATTCACATTTTCGTTTGTGTGCTCACAACTATTATTTGATTTAGATTTAAAGCTTTCGTGACTGCAGGGATTCATATTCCTGGTTCTTTCGGTAAAGTCACATAGAAGGGAAATAAAAAAAAAACACTCACACTATTTTATTATTTCCCTTCTACGTGACTTTACCGAAATAACCAAGAATATTATTTGATTATTAACTTGCTCTGCATCCCTTTTTTCTGTGTCAAATCACCTTGATAGAAATGTATTTTTTCAATAATCACCTTGCTAATATTACAATCTTAATATTTGTGTGCGGACAAATTATATTTCTGTTCCTTGCTTCTTCCACTAAACTCATGTACATAGAAAGTGTGTGTAAGTCGATGTGTGTGTCTGTCTTTTTCGCCCAGGCAACGCCGGGTACTTACCGCTACTATTAAATAAAACATACATTATACTGTAGATTTGGAAGTTTAATTTACCTTGGAAGATGGTGTGATGATGATGGTCAGCAAATACACCATCACCACGAGCAAATTTATCCAACAATTCTGCCTTTTGAGTTAAATTCATCACTTCTGCATTTTACTGTTGCTCACATTTCCTCCACTCACCTGACGCTTAGACCCAGTGAATTAAGTAAAACAAAACCACCGCTCCTACACAGCGCAAGTTCCCCCTCCCGACAATGCGGTGTACAAATATAAAATGGCAAATAATCGAATTTCTTTTAAGAAAAATCCACAAAGAAAGAGGTTTTACTATATTTTATGTCATAAAATACCCTGATTCAGAGTGAGACCTCTGCTGTCAAACCGGTCATAAGCACACTGCCCAGGTATGAAAACCTCTCCACAACTGCCCCATAACACAAAACATCCAGGCAGGTGCTTTGTTTTTGTAAGGCTGATGGTAATGTCCCATCTCTTTGTAGCACACTTCAGGTCAACAGTAGGGAGCCATCCCCTGACTGCACTGGGCCATTAATCAGCCTTCCATTGTATCTGTACCAGATATAACAATAATAACAATAACCACCGTTCACCACTAATTGGCGGTGTTGTCACCATGGCGCTTGTGCCATGCTGGGTGCGCTTTGAGACCACGTGAAGTGTCGAAGGCTCGCTGGCAGGAGGTCAAAATTAGGTTGACCCAGCTTTAAATGAGTACCTGGTGCGATGTGTAAACATCAGCAATGGGGAGATGGCAGCTGGGCGTGGTGCTGACCACGTCACACACACAGTGCGCCATGCCGCCCTTCATCGGTGCCCACGTACAGAACTTGCCCCAACTGTTTCCTAAGGCTACCCGGGGGGGGGGAATCTTTGTATTTGTTGTTCTGTGCAGGTTGACTGCGGTGCGGGCTGAGTGCGCGTGTCTGCGTGCAGAGCTGACGAGCTCCATCACGACGCTCAGAGCTCAGAGTGAGTCCGAGAAAGGAGCATTGAAAGAACAGGTAAGGCATCCTGTGTAAATCTGTGGGTGCCATGTAATTCTGTGGGTCCCCTGTAAGTCTGTGGGTGCCATGCAATTCTGAATTCTGTGGAACCCGTGTAATTCTGTGGGGACCCGTGTAAGTCTGTGGGGACCCGTGTAAGTCTATGGGTCCAGTGTGAGTCTCAGATTTTAGACTCTTCATTGTTATTACACCTAGTGCCACTAATTCTATCACATATTGCAATGTTTTTTCCATTTCCCTGGTCCCATTGCCAATGGCACAGCCAATGCTTCCTTCCAGGACCTTGGTATAGTTTAATCACCACCACCATCGCCTCGCTTCATGCCTTGATGAATTAGTTTTGTTCAAATAATTTTGTTTGCTTTACCGGTAACTGCATGACATGCCGGCATACATATATTTGGTTTCCGCTTTGTTGCACAGATAGAAATATCTATAGCAATAAACAGAACGATTCACCTTTTTAACTAACCGAGGGAGCTGCCACCATGGTGTAACGATCCACTGTCTGGACTAAACATACAATCCGAGGCTTCTGCTTCACAGTGGACATTAAAGTTCCTGTGACGTAATTTTAAATGAATAGGCCGTTGTGTGCTGGCGTCATGGTTCATATTGACCAACTTAGAAAGGTTACCGCTCAAATGGGATGATACGCAGCAGCCTTCATCGCTCCCAACTAGCAAGGATAACACCCGCTCGTAGTCCAGGTGCTGAGTCACCTTGTGCCGCACATTGACAGCTGCCACTGGGGGGGGGTGCCATTCTAATTAATACGTAGTAGTCGGAAGCTTTCACGACCAATATCTATAATTGAGGTGTTTTGGGTTCGATCACGGAAATATAATGTTGTTAAACCCGCCAATACCTGATACCGCCAATTAGTAAGGTTTGTCATGTAAGCAGAAATAACATTTCTTTACTCGTTCATCACACTGGTGTGTTGGAAAATAAACCCACAACATTGTAAATGTAAATGTTGTGGGTTTACGACGTTAGCTAGCATCATCTGGTGACAGCCAGAGTTGTGGCTGTCACCAGATGTGTGAAATATATAAAAAATATTTATTTAGACTGGAGGAATCCGATGAGCTATAACGCTCTTTTTTCACAGATGTCAACTAGGCGCAGGTCAGCAAGTTATATAATGACAAAGGGTATAGATAGTTGATTATTATTGTTATTAATATTCGTATAAGGGCCACAGGGAAAGTGGTAATGGCTGCAGCTGTTAAACGACAACTGTGTCAGGTGGTGGCAGGTTTAACGACACTCATATTTACGCAAGTAACATTGGTCGCGGAAGCCTACTGCGTGTTAAACGAGCCGGTAGCCGTTTTCCAAGTCAATTACCGTCTCTTCTTACTCGGGAACCCGGTAACCGTTTTCCAGTGGAATGTTGTGTAACGAACATACACACAACAATTGGCACGCATGGACGGACGCACAAATGGCACGAAGGCCTAAATCACCGCTTGGTTCGTCTCTCACCTTCGTTTCAGCAGTTAAACGGTAACAGGCGTAGCCCCTACAGTTGCTCGCTCGCGCCACTGCTGGTAGAAGGGGCGGACAGAAGCGGTGGGCGTGGAGATTTAAGAAACTTGGCTCATTGTTTCAGCTGCCGAGCCGGGAGATGGAAAGCAACCGGTGACCTGTAGATTGTATGACGAGTGTGCTGACCATTACACACCCACTGTTGCTGCTTCACGCTCTTCTCAGAGGGGATTAACATCTCGCCACCGTGGCACCCTGGTCTCCAAAAAAGGCAAAGATCCTCCCCTATAGCATTAACAGACTGTTGGGGCAAGTGCTGTTAGCGAGTATGAAGGCCGGCAAAGCACACGGGGAGGGGTGGATGGGTGGCCGGCACTATGCCCTTGCGCCTTTGTCTCACCTGTGGAGATGCGTAAAGGCGGTCACCACGTCGCGTGCTTTCCAATGCGCTTCTGCGGCCACCTGGAACGCTCTTCCTTCTGATATTAAGAAGCCATTGGAACTGCTTTTGGTGTTTAGTTTCTGTTCCTTCCCCGCACCTTCAATGAGCGCGGTTGGCTACGTGCGGTCTGTGAAAGAAGTCCAAAGAGGCTAAAGAGCCTAAATGCATTGCATCCGGTGCTGCTGACGTTTCTGCGTGTGTGGCAAAATCTTAAACGGTTCAACGTCCGGTGACCCCCCCCCCCCCATGCGGGCGCAGGTGAAGCGAGCGGAGGCGGAACGGGACGAGAGTCGCCGCGCCGCTCACGACATGCACGGCCGAGTGAGCCGTCTTGAGGCACAGGCGCTCGGAGCCAGCAGCCCGGCGGTAACGGGTGAAGCCACGCACGCACGTGCACACACGCACGCGCACACACGCGAGCACGCACACATACACAACCCTAACCCAAACATGAGTGGAGGAGCTGCTCCAGTGAGGGGTGGCTGGCTATCGTACAAAGATGGTCACCGCATCACGCAGCGCTTTTAGATGCGCTTCTGCAGGAGTCTGAAACGCTCTTCCTTCTGATATTGGAAGCCACTTTAAGATTTGCCAGTTCTAAACTAATTTGTTTAGAACTGGCTTTTTGTGTTCAGTTTATTGTCCTTCCCCGTACCTACAGTGAGCACGCTTGATTTTGTACGGTGCAAAAGAAGTTTAACATACATTCATTGAACAAACACCTGCTTCGCACATCTGTGCCTCCACATAAATAAAAATACATTCGATTTTACACATCCCATTAGCCGCACACTCGGCCTCTTCGAAGTGCGTTATCGGATTCTCAGCAGTACAGGGACTCCTACTTACGAACGAGTTAGGTTCCAGAGGTCTGTTCCTTTGTCGATTTGTTCGCAAGTCCAACTTTATTGCTGTCGATTCCAAACATGTTTTCAGTTTCATTTATTTGGTATAGCCCTGTGAGCCATTCGGCTCTTGAATCGGGTGCAACCGCAACAAACAAAAAATAAAAACATGAACAAGAAAACATCTTAAAGTGACTATGTGACTATGTACAAACAGAAAATCCAAGAAAAGACAGCAAAATATTGCAGAAAAAGCACCGTACACCAACGCTGTGTGCAAAAATCCCAGTGGGATGCAAGTCAAACAACAACAACCACAAGACAGCTTAGATTAAGGCCATCAGTCTAACTCCATACTACAACAAACAAACATGGCCAATTATAGATTTAAAGCTTTCGTGACTGCTAGGATCCATACTCTTTGGTTCTATTGGGTAAAGTCACGTAGGTGAAAATAAAATAACAAAAAATCACGACGTTTCGGCCACAACACAAGCGGCCTTCATCAGGTGAAGGGACGAGACTGTCTGGTAGGACAGCGCTGGAGTGAAAGAGCCACGTTCAGATCACGACCTTTAAGCTGTGTGAGAAGAAAAACACCAAGCGCCTTGACAAAGGAATTAGCATATAATTTAGCATTGAAATAGCTAAGTTAAAGTATACACATCCGCAGAGGTACCCCTTGACAAAGGAATTAGCATAGAATTTAGCAATGAAATAGCTGAGTGATTAGCTTGTAACTGGTCACAGAAATAGCTATGTTAAAGTTAGAGCATATACATTCACCGAGGCACCTAGTACTCATCAAGCAGGAGAATTTAGCGAAACACAACCACGCTCAGACAGCGGACCTTTAAACTGTGTGCGAGCAAACAAGGTGTTCTGACAAAGAAATTAGCATAAAAATTTAGCATTTGATTGGCGGATTTTAGGAAAGAGGTGGTGTACGTGCCGTTGGACTTGCCGTTTGGCGCGGGGGGGGAAGGGGGGGAGGGGGAGTTTACCTATTGGTGGTGTGAAAAGGGAATTTATAAGAGCTGCGAAAGTTTGGGGTACCACTACTTGAAAAATATACTGTACCATTGAAATTAGTTTAATGTTTAGTTCGATTTAGAACATCTTTCCAATGGTTGCTTAATTTGAAACCATCCTCTCGGTTGAAATTGTGTCTGTCTTTGTAGATCTGAATTGCTTCATGAACAAATCTCTGATAAAAGCCCGTGGGTTTGCAAAGAACCTTGGTATCGGAGAAAATTAAGCAACCATTGGAAAGATGTTCTAAATCGAACTAAACATTAAACTAATTTCAATGGTACAGTATATTTTTCAAGTAGTGGTACCCCAAACTTTCGCAGCTCTTATAAATTCCCCCTTTTCACACCATCAATAGGTAAACTCCCCCTCCCCCCCTTCCCCCCCCCCCCGCGCCAAACGGCAAGTCCACCGGCACGTACACCACCTCTTTCCTAAAATCCGCCAATCAAATGCTAATTTTTATGCTAATTTCTTTGTCAGAACACCTTGTTTGCTCGCACACAGTTTAAAGGTCCGCTGCCTGAGCGTGGTTGTGTTTCGCTAAATTCTCCTGTTTGATGAGTACTAGGTGTCTCGGTGAATGTATATGCTCTAACTTTAACAGCTATTTCTGTGACCAGTTACAAGCTAATCACTCAGCTATTTCAATGCTAAATTCTATGCTAATTCCTTTGTCAAGGGGTACCTCTGCGGATGTGTATACTTTAACTTAGCTATTTCAATGATCCATTTCAATGCTAAATTATATGCTAATTCCTTTGTCAAGGCGCTTGGTGTTTTTCTTCTCACACAGCTTAAAGGTCGTGATCTGAGCGTGGCTTCTTCCACTCCAGCGCTGTCCTCCAGACAGTCCCGTCCCTTCACCTGATGAAGGCCGCTTGTGTTGTGGCCGAAACGTCGTGATTTTTTGTTATTTTATTTTCACCTACGTGACTTTACCCAAACATGGCCAAACCAAAACTTTTCAAAATCACCAAAATAAAGCCATAAAAGCAATGTAACAGTGATCATAGGAACTGTGACCGAATTTTCACAATAAACGACATAAACTACATGTACCACCAAACCCTGCAGCCATAGCTGGCTGCATGAGTCACTCCACAACAACAGGAGCATCAATCGGAGTATCAACATTTTTCAATGCACCTTTAAGATCAGCACATTAAATCAAAACAGATCATACTTTGCAGCGGTCATCCGGAGCGAAACATTTTATTTTAGTGGCAGCTAGGGGTGTACAACTCCTCTAGAGCAGTTTTGAGTGAATATCTCATAGGTAGTGATTCAAGTTGCAGTTTATTGGCAATAGCATTCCAGACCCTGGGGGCATCAATAGCAAAGGCCCTTCTTCCAGTATTTGTACGGCAATAGGGAATGTGAAGCTGGTCAATGAGCGAAGACCTTAGGTCAAATTTGTTCTTTGAAACAGAGAGGAGATCCAGCAGGTAATCTGCGAAGTACATCGTGAATAAATAAGATCTGGTGCACAAGCCGTCGGACATTAAGAGATGTTAAGTTTGACCTAATGTAAAGATCACAGTGGTGAGTCCTATATGGGCAGTTCAATGCAAATCTTAAGGCCGAGTGATAAATTGAGTCAAGCTTCTTCAGTACAGTACTTGGGGCAGATGTATACACGATGTCACAGTAATCAAGTAGAGGCAGTATGGTAGCTTTTATCAATTCCAAACGGAACATAGGGGGGAAGCAGTGCTTGTGTTGATACAGAAAACCAATTTTTATTTTTGTCTTTTTACCAATATAATCAATGTGATCTTCAAAATTCAGTTTTGAATCCAGGATGACCCCAAGATAATTATAGATCTTGACTTGCTCTATTTGATAATTATTTAAGGAATGTAATTGGGGAAAAATTGCTTTCTGCTTTAGTCCTGGTGAGAAGCATAGCACCTTGGTTTTGGAGGTATTCAGGACTAGTTTAAGAGCAACTATCTGATGTTGTAGTTGTTGAAATCACCCTGGAGCTTAGCAATCACGTCATCCGGAGAGCGTCCAGCAGTAATCAGTATCGTGTCATCTACAAAAAGATTTACCCTGAAATGATCCAGGTCAGTGCCCAAGTCATTGACATAAAGAGAGAACAAGAGGGGGCCGAGGATGGAACCCTGTGGAACCCCTTTTGTTATCCTAACACTGTTTGATAACAAAAGGGGTTCCACATTGAAGGGAAACAATAAAATAATAGAAATATAAAACAATAAAATTATCACGACGTTTCGACTGCAACACAAGCAGTCATCATCAGGTTTGAAAACCACAACAACCACAACAAGAACATTTTCTTGTGGTTTTCACACCTGATGATGACTGCTTTTGTTGCAGTCGAAACGTCGTGATAATTTTATTGTTTTATATTTTTATTATTTTATTGTTTCCCTTCTACGTGACTTTACCGAAAGAACCAAGAATATGTAATAGATTGTTGGTGGACAGGAAACTACTAATTTGGTCGTTCAATGATTTTTCACATTTTTTTTATTAACGGGAACAAAATTGAGATAGGTCGGTAGTTATTTGGATCATCTTTAGGGTCCACTTTGTGAAGTGGACAAACATAGGAATGCTTCTTTGATGGACAGGTTGAAATTATGGGTTATAGGTTTGTATATTAGGTGACCAACAGTTAGTAGAGTACGGCATGTACACCAAACACGGAGAATGACTTTAAAAGTTGTATAATCTCCTGTAGATGTAGATGCCACTGGTTCTTCATGTTCTCCAGATGTAGATCCCACTGGTTCTCCATGTTTTGCAGATGTAGATGCCACTGGTTCTTTATGTGTTGTAGATATTGATGCTAATTCCCTTTGGTGCTTGTGTTTTGAAAAACTTACCAAGACATGTCTGCACAGTTGTCTTTTTCTCTTGATAAATCAACTTCTAACAGGCATTAGCATCATGAACAGCTGCTGACACCTTGGTAAACCTTTCAGTGTTTGGGTCCTAAGACTCAAAACAGGCCAGTGCCTTCTCAATCATGCTGAAACCTTCAGCCAGCTGTTTGGTGTTGAACCCTTTAGGTTGCTCGGCCTCCTGTTCCTCCTCAGTGACCTCATCCTCCACCCTGTGTGACTCCAGTTCCATCAAATCATTGTTGGTCAACTTCTGAGTGTGGCATTCCAACAATTCCTGGAAATCTTCTTCCTCCAGATCCAATTGCAGTTCCTTGACCATATCCACCAGCTTGTTGATCACTGAATCCGTAGTCTCCTGAAATCCCTAAAAGTCAGGAACAAACTGGGGGCAGAGTTGCTTCCACACACTATTCATGTTGGGAGCTGTGATCTCATGCCAGGAAGCATCAATGTTCTTAACTTCCTTGTAAATGTTATAGTCCTTCCAGAACTGTTTCAGCGTCACTCCACTTTCCCCTCCTGTAGCCTTCACAGCCTTCTGAAAGTTCTCCGCAGGTAACATCTCTTGAAAGTAGATATGACACCTTGGCCCATAGGTTGCAGGAGAGAAGTGTTATTGGGAGGCAAATGCACCACCTGGATGTTAGCATGGTAACTGCCCAGGACAGATGGCTGACTAGGGGAATTATCTAGTAACAGCAGGTTCTTGAAGGGCAGGTTGTTATTGTTGCAGTATATTTCCACTTCAGTTACAAAGTGATGGGAAAAAACAATCTTCGAAGAGGGCCTGAGTCACCCAGGCCTTAGGGTTAGACTTAGCACACAAGAAGCAGTGAACCTTTGGCAATATTATTCAGGACTCTTAGGTTTTTGGCATGACAAACTAACAGGGTCAAAAATTAAACTAACAGGGGTATCAGTTTGCAGTTCTTAGCAGCATTTCCACCAAGTAAGAGAGTAAGCCTGTCCTTCGCAGCCTTGAAATCTGGCATATTCTTTTCCTCTTTGACAATGCATGACCGATATGGAATTTTCTGCCAGCACTGGCAGCCTCACCACTCACTTTGATGTTATGCAGGTTCACACGAGCCTTAGATCTGTGGAACCAACCATGACTAGCAGTAAATGTCTCATCAGCAACACTCTCGCCCTGTTTAGCCTTTAGATCTGCAAAAAAACTCAAGGCCTTCTCCTGAATTAGCATAAGGCTTATAGGCATTCAACGCTGATGCTGGTCCTCCAGCCACACACGCAAGAATTTTTCATTTCTTCAATCGCTATGCTTCTTTTCTTACTAATAATCGTGGACTGCATTGCCACAGAACCTTTCACATTTTGCATAATTCGCACCTTATCCTTTAAAATTGTCCCAACAGTCGAACGATTCATCCCAAAAGCACGTTCAATGTTTATCATTTTTTTGCTTTTTTCACATGCTTTATAATGTCCACAATTAGTTTCCATCGTAATAGTTAACATTGTTGCGGAGCATGCAAGTAACAGAATACATATGCTAACAAGAAGGCTCCTTTTTCAATAATAATGGAAAGGATTAATTCTCCCTACACAACCCCCGCTCCCGTTGCCTGAATCTGCAGCCCAGGCCTCAGCACAGGCCCCAGGCCGAACAGGGGCCCGGGAGGGGCTGGAGGCGGGGGGCTCGTGGGGTGTGGCAGCTCGCGAAGAGGGGGAGGGGATGGAGGAATCAGGGCCCCGAGCCCCACTGTGCCCCCCCTCCCTGCCCCCCACCCCACAGCAGTCTTCCTCGCTGGAGCAACTCCTCAACAGCACAGATGTCAAGAGTGGTAAGCACTAACCAGCATTGGTGTCGCGGTTAGCGTGCCACGCTACGAACCCGGCGATCTGAGTTCGATTCCCGCTCGCGACCAACATCAGTGACGAGTATGCGTGCAGGTTCTGGGTCTCCCCTAGGTCGACTTGGCCTAAAATGAGTACCTGGTGTGGTGTGTACATTTTTTCCACTGGGGAGAAAAAGGCAGCCAAGCCTTGGTGCTGGCCCCACCACCCACTCGAGCGCCGACCTAAAAAGGCGTTCGCTAACATTAGCACCTACCCCAATGGGGAAAACATTTTATTTTGTGGGAAAAAACACGCCATTGTGTTGACTTGTCCGCCTGGCTCTCATTACGTAACACGTGGCTGCCCCTGCCTTTGTCCCTGCTCCTGCCCCTGCCCCCAGTGAGCCCCGTGGGGCTGGAGCCGACGAGCGAGCAGCTGGCGTTGGCGCTGGGCGCCGCGTCGCGCCGGGCCGACCACCTGAGCGAGGTGCTGCACGAGGCAGAGGCCACCAACGCTGTCCTGTTGGAGCAGATCAAGGTGGCCTCACCCCCACGTTCGCCCCACGCTTGCCCCATGCTCGCCCCACGCCCACCCCACGCCCGCCCCACGCTCACTGCACTGTCCGATCACTCCTCACTCGGCACCTCACTCTGCTCCTCACTCTACACCTCACGTCACTGCGCACCTCACTGCACACCTCACTCCGCACTCACTCCACGTGTCACTCCGCACGTCACTGCACGTGTGACTCTTACTCATGAGACTCATACTGGTATCTTCATCTCTCTCCTGGTGAACTAAACAAACTCTAGAGAAATATTCTTGTCACCATAGACCCCCTGTCATCATTCTCACGCTTCTGCATAACTTAGTAAGCATCTCTGGGACACGCATATTTCATGTCTCCCTTCTCTCACACCGCCGATTCTCCTGCGCTCCGTGTGACGTTGGAGAGAAAGAGAGAGGACTTCTGTCGTCCCAGAAGCTGCTTCCCAGGTGTCCATGCCACGCGGTGGCATGCTCGCCCCGCGGCACCTCTTCTCAACTAAAGCGGAAACCCTGCTGCTTGCCTCGCGCTCGCCCTGCAGGTGCTCAAGAGTGAGGTGCGCAGGCTGGAACGCAACGCGGAGCGCAACGGCGCCATCTCCAGCCTCGAGTACCTCAAGAACGTGTTGCTCAAGTTCGTATCACTGCCACCGGGCAGTGAGCGCCAGGCCCTGCTGCCCGTGCTGCACACCCTGCTGAGGCTCAGCCCTGAGGAGCGTGGCCTTCTCGCTCACATTGCCAACGGTGCGTGAGTGCGTGGTGTGTGTTTCTGTCTGTGTGTGCATGCGTGTTTCTTTCTGTGCATGTGTGTTTCCGACCATGCATGCGTGGTTTTGCCCATGCGAGTTTTTCTGTGTGGGGAGCGGTAGTATCGCGGTTAGCGCGCTGCACTACGAGCCCGGCGACCTGAGTTCGATTCCCGCGCACAGCCAAAACTAGTGACGATTATCTGAAGCGGTCGTGGGCCTCCCCTAAGTCGACTTGGCCTCAAATTATTACCTGGTGCGGTGCGTAAACATCGCGACTGGAGAGACATAGGCGGATAGGCATGATGCTCGCCACCCACCCCTTCGTCTGCCTTGCTGGCCTTCATAGGAGCTCGCTAACAGCATTTGCCCTAACAGTCTGTTTTGGCTTTACTGGGGGATCTTTGTTTTGTTTTGGTGCGTTTCTGTCTGTGCATGTGTGTTTTTCCGTGCATGCGTCTGTCTAATCAACTGTGGTTTTCGTCCCTGCGTGCATGTGTGTGTGCTTCTGTGTGTGGAGATCAGTGGCACAGTGGTTAGTGCACTGCACTCTGCACTCTGAATCCGGTCAATGAGTTCAATTCCCTCTCACGACAAATAACGGTGACAGAGAATGTCTAATCCGGTCCTGGGTCTCCCCTAGGTCGACTCAGCCTTAAATGAGTACGATGGTTGGTTTGTAAAAACATCGCCACTGGCGAGACAAAGGTGGCTGTGCGTAGTGATAACCACCAACCCCCTGGTGCAAGGTGCCAGCCTTCATAGGTGCTCCCTAACAAACCTTGTCCCAACAGTCTGTTGAAGGCTATATGGGAATCTTTGTTTTGTATTTTTGCGTGTTTCTGTGTGTACAGTGGTTAAGGATGTTCATAATAGTGACCATGCCCCCGGGTAAAGCTGCTTGGGCAGGAGTCTTAGCCATTCCCCCTTCACCTTGGGGTGTGAAAGGGATGTCCTCTGGCTCCTACAAAATTGTATATCTTCTTACACCACGTAGTTTGAGAAGCTTTTTATGGCTGTATTAGAGGGATTTCCATTTTCCAGAAACAATGGGAGGCTGATCTATAACTGCATGCAGTCAAGGGATTGCTCCATATTGGTGAACCATGCTATGCATGATGCAAATATCGTAATTGCAGCTCATTCTGAGAAGGAGTTGGAGACTGAACCACTAATGTACCGCTAAGAGGTGGGGCCTTACCGTTAGCCAGACAAAAACAAAGCAACGACAAACAATCCACACTCTTAACTCGCCATGAGTGATGGGGCGGTTGTGGAAAGAGTGTAGAAGTTTCCATACCTGGGCAGTGTGCTAATGACTCGGTCCGTTTCGACAGCAGAGGTTTCACTTTTAATAATTTCAGTGTTATTATATTATCTATTCCTTGGCTGCATAACTGTGTGGAAGCTGCCTGGCCTGTGGCTGCTACATACAAAGCTCCAGGTCTTCTCAGCCACAATTATGGCCTCCCTTTCTGAAACGTGGATCCCTCTGAAGGGACATCTATACTGGCCTGCCTATGATCCATCCTGGGTTTAACTAGACTGGATTATGTGAGGATCTCACAGATATTGATGACCTCCGGCAAGCGAGGCTGTGTTGGCTGGGTCATGTAGCCCGCATGTCCAGCCACCATATGTCAAAGCATCTTCTGTTTGGATGGATAGAAGGGGCGAAATGGGCATGGCACATTCTAGAGAAGAGATGGAGCCGATGTGGTGCAGGACGATGTAGAGCTGATGGGGCTTGCCGATGACTGATACCAGCGGTGTTAAGACCAGCCTCTGTGGAGGCGTCTCGGGATGAATGCGTCTGGGCAATTGGAGGCAGTCGCCCTCCAACAACAATGAACAGAGGAGCAAAGCTCGCAACAACGAGTGGAGCACTGGGCAGCTAAAACGCAGCAAGACAGCCAGTCAACCCGTTTCTCCTGGGTCTGTCCCGTGACCTCCTGCCAGCAAGCCTTCGACACTTTACATGGCCTCAAAGTGCACCAAGGCTGGCGCAGTCGCTGTGGTGATGTCACCTCCGCTTCATAGTGAATGATGGCTTTTGTTGTTGTTTAGGAGAGGAGGAGCTGGACTCGGGTGGCACGTCAGGAGGCTGGGTCTCCTATCTGCCCAGCTGGTCCGGGTTGCGCTAGAGGGAGCCACTCGCCCATGCACACACACAATGCACAGTGGGCGACACCACACAGACCACGCCGTCCAGCTCAGTGGGAAGACCGTGTTCAAGGCAAAGGAAAATCCTCCACTAGAGGGAGATCTCGAGTGCTGTTTGATCTCTTACACACTAACCAGATGTGTTGGAAGAGGTCAGGGTTCCAACTCCGCCACACACAATGCCTATCGTAGACCGTGGTGAGCCCGATTAATTGTATGGGTGGGCAGAGGTGGTGGGGGGGGGCGTTTAAGAAACGTGCACCCCATTATAACCGCCACGCCAAGATCGATTCGAACCGGCGACCCCGGAAAAGCATTGCTCCTCGCACGCGCAAGTCTGACCCTGAGCCTAGGAATCGTTGTAATTCAGCTTAAAATAACAAACTCGACACACGTGTCAGTAATGTTGAATAGCGCGTATTATCGGCGACGTTTCCGGTGATGGACTTTCGTCACACAGCACACACAGAGGCCAGGAACACGGGGTAGATGACATTGGAGTTGGAGATGACACTGTGCACACAATGGACACCATGGGGCCTGGGTAGAAATGTAATTTAAAATATATTTTCCAGATTTAACTTTTTTTACAAATGTTTCCAAACACTCTTTGGTTCTTTCGGTAAAGTCACGTAGAAAAAAAAATTGACCATGACGTTTCGATTGCAGCACAAGCATCCATCATCAGGTGCAAGCTCGGAGAGAGACACATTTACAGTGAGAGAGACACACAGAGAAACAACGCCTCTGTGACGAGTTATGGTATAGAGATCGGCGGCATGGGGGAGAGTGAGGGGGGGGGAGAGTGAGGGGGGGCAGAGAAATTAGAATGTCAAGGAGAGACAAATGCAGTCACGAACACTTCAAATCAATTTAACACGTAGGCTTTCGCGACCAATATTATTCAAATCAAGATTGTTTCCAGTCTCGTATGGGCATTTGAACAGTTACCCCTGAGTAGATATTTATATAACACATTCACACACACACGCTAACACACACACGTTAACACACATGTTAACACAGGCACACATTCGACCCACATTCACACATGTAACAAAGACAAAGATCTTCCGTATAGCTTCAGCAAACTGTTGGGGTAAGTGTTGTTGGGGAGCACCTATGAAGGCCGTTATGGCACAAGAGAGGGTGGGTGGCCAGCACCACGCCTGGTTACCTTTGACTCCCAATCGGCGATGTTTACACACCGCACCAGTAACTCATTTAAGACTGAGTCGACCTAAGGGAGGCCCAGAACCGGTTCAGATATTCGTCATCTATTGTGAGCGGGAATTAAGCTCTGGTCACCGGGTATGTAGTCCAGTGCCCTAACCACTGTGCCACCGCTCCCTACAATCCAGGTCAATGGTCAGCTCAGAGCCAGTGTTGGATAATTCTACATTCCCATGGCAGAGGTCAGTCTTCCCATAGGATGACCCATGCTACTTTCCTGCAAAGTAGTTATTTATTTTTTATCAACCCCAGAGTAATGATGATGGGTTTGACTCCCAGATTCGAACTCATCATTTGTAGCCACCAGTGATGCTTGTCCTGATTGGGGTTTATGGTGCAATAGCCGGGGACTGTGGGCACAGTAGAAGTCTTGTTTGAGTTAAAAGTTCTGAGCAATTAATTGTATTTTGCACTTCTCTGCTGATTGGATCAGTGGTTTGCGGGACGCGTGCGGTGTAATTGCTCTGTCTGCGAGGTGACGCAGCCCGCAGTGAATCCAAGAAGTCACTTCCCTTCATTGATGGGCAGACGATTAATCTCCTTTTATCTGTCCCTCCACATGAAAAAATATACTTTTTTTTTACACCTCATCAGCCACACGGCCTTCTGGGAGTGCATAATTTCAGCAGCATTGGCTCATCATGAGATAAACGCTAGGCTGGTTTTGACGTTCATTGTCTCATCATCAGTCAGGATTTCCTGAGCCAATGGTGGTGAACTGCCAGATATTTATAGGCAAGAGCCCTCTTAAAGATGGGTCCTAGCTTTACGCAAAACCCTTGATATACAACAAAACCTAATCAAGAGTGTCGTGGAGACTATAATAAAATAACTAAGCAAACAGTGTCTCCACGTATCTGGCCCTCTACATTATTTTTTTCAAGCATCGTTTACACATTCCATCAGCCACAATGCCAGATACGTAAAAGAGGTGTATTGTCTGCGTATTTAGCTTCATGGAGCCATCGTCTTTGATGGCCCAGGGCTTTAATCACACCCAGCAGAACGCTGTCTCTTTCTTATCAAGCTGCTCCAAGCTCAGCTCGCGCTCCTGGGTTCAAGCGATCGTGACTGCTGATGAGACAATGAATGTTAAATCCAGTCCAGGGTATTGCTGTCTTAAAGCACTGCTGCTGAAATAAATTAACTGCCGGAAGACTTTGGCTGATGGGATGTGTGAAAAATAACCTATTTTATTTTTTAATGATAATTATTTCAATGTATAACATGCCGCCATACAATATTCAGAGAGAGAGGACGACTCGGAAACACGAGGAGGAGCTACAGACGAGCGAGTGCGAACGTGGCCACCAGCTGAGCGAGTGCCAACAATCGCCCAAGCTCTGCTGCTCTCTATACCGGGTGGCCCAGAAGTCAGGACACACAGGGTTATTAAAACATTTAATTGTTTATTTTTTGTTATATTGGCAAGAGCTCGCTTAAAGATGGGTCCTAGCTTTATGCTCGGACCCATCCAGCATCATTGGGCGGTTTGCCAGAATAGTGAACCAATCTACCTCCATTCTTAAATAGAGCAAAATGACATAATCACTAAACACATCAGGTGCAGAGATCAGAGACGTATTCAAATTATAAATGTGGATTAATCTCCAACACACCGGTGGGCTGTAGTAACTAATTGGCGTGTTGTTTACGTGACAAACCTTATTGGCTGTGTCGGGTGGTGGAGGGTTACGACACATTTATACTGACGCGATCTAACCCAAAAACCTTTATTATGAATAATATTGGTCGCGAAAGTCTACGTGTTAAATGTTTTGTTATCTATTGTCATTATTAATATCTATATTTCTTCTTCCTGTGGGGTTACATCAAATTTGTCATTTACAAAACTTGACCAAGAACCATGAATTAAGTGAGACGAAACATAATTGATGATTGTTCAAAGATTACACGGTGTAATCTTTTTTTAAACGTCTAAATTAATTTCCTAATATAATTCTTGCACGTGTTCATGTTGATGGAAGTCAGTTTGAACGTTTGTTAAATTATTAAAACGAATATAATGACCCTGTGTGTCCTAACTCTTGGGCCACCCTGTATATAAAGGTTTTATCGGACAATTAATAAGTGGCAGAATTCCGGAGCACCTGGAGAACACCTACGCGTGCGAAGGGGTAACGCTCTATCCCATACAGATGGAACAGGTGGAGTCCACATTGTTACTGGCGAGCCAGGGTATGCGCTCCGGGAAGGGCGCTTCGCAACATCTCTGTGTGATCCGCCAACTCTCTTGTCCTCCCCCCGCACCTTCGATTAGCATGGTTAGCTTACGTTCGTTACGAAAGAAGTTCAACATACATATACAGCCCTCTGTACTGCCTCTAGTGCTGGAATACAGACTGTGTGTCGTAGCCACCTCTGTATTTGGTAACTACTACCGCCTGGAGAAATAAGTAATTGTTCATATTAAAAAAATAAGATTATATATCTTTATTTTATTATATTTAAATAATATTCACACTTCTGGATGCCCATGTCCAGCTGTTGCTGTGCCGCTACTTGAGACGGTGGTTTGCGTTCTGACGCCGCCGCTGCTGCTAGCCGCCGCTGCTGATAACTGCTGCTGCACCGAATCCATGTTGCGCGGTGTCTCAGCGGTGTCCGACTTGTCCATTATGAGCCGGGCGTTATGTCGAGCGCCGAGTCCAACGTCGTGGGAAGTGTTCGCTTCTCGGAAGGTGGTGCGCGTGAGACACGAAACTCGAGTTTGCGGACCAAGTGGACCACACGCGTCGCCGTCAGCATTCGAGATGGATATCTTGGTTGTAAGATGTGGAAACTCCTTCCATAATACGGCGGTTCTTCATCGAACGTGAAATCAGGGAAACGAATTATTTACGTGATGTTGAATAACAGGAAAGGACGGCTCCTGTTGATTGAACCTGGCTAAATGTTTTGTCTCGCTTTATATGGTGAAGGTTGAATAAATGATTGTGTTCAGAATTCTAGACATTTGCCTTACGTGTTCGTTGTATAAAGTGGCTAACAAAGGATTATGTTTTTACATTGTCATTAGAGAAGCTGGACTTACCATATGAACTGATGATCTATACGTGGTCACGCATTTCACAATATACCGCTGGATGAGGGGCCTGCCCACGCCGGGTCGGTTATGTGGATTAATTGACCATACTTCACCACGCTGGTCATTGCGGTTCGTGTGAAGGTGGGGAGCACAGACGTATAGAAGGACAAGAGCAGACTATGGGGGCAGTGCTGTTCGAAGCACAGATGGGATGTGTGGCCAGCACTACGCTCGGCCGCATTTGTCTCCCCAGTACTGATGTTTTATACACAACTTAATATATTTAAGGTTGAGCCGACCTAGGGGAGGCCCAGGATCTGTTCACATTGGTCACCGCATATTGAGCAGTGAGCGGGAATCGAATTCGGCCAGGTTCGCCAGCCGCTGTACCACTGCTCCCCACCCGGGCGCGGACACACACGAACGCGCGCGCTCCCACGTCATGAATTGCAAATGAATGACAGGCGCAGTGCACTGAATGGGGTCTTTGAGTGGCAGCGTAAGTCACGCGAGCACATTGCGTTTCTGCTGTGCGTGTCGGCAGCCGCCAATGTGATAAGCCGAGGCAAAGTCTGGTCCCTCGTGCACTGGGGTCTGGGATGGGGAGGGTGAGAGAAAGGTGGCGATGTTTGCGATACTGGAGCTGAGTGCCTCGTGCAGTTATGGACAGACGCGCGAATACGCATAGACATATTAATATTGATTGATATTCTAGATGAATCCGATGAGCTATGAAGTACTAAATCACAGACCTCCAGCACGGGGTCAAAACGTTACAACAACAAAAAAATAAAAAATACGATAGGAGTGCAAAGTATAGAAAAGGTAAACAAATTGCTTAAATTTTCTGTACAAATAAAACTAGACTTCATTTTTATCTTACCAGGTGATGCCCACCGAGGTATTAACCCATTTTTCAAATGCGACCTGGCCAAAAATGATAGCTCAACAAAGTGGCTTATGTGGAAATTTATAGCAGCAAAATAATATAACTCATTCTAGATTTGAAGCTTTCGTGACTGCAAGAATTCATAATCTTTGGTTTTATTCGGTAAAATCACGTAGGTAAAAAACAGATTAAAATATAAGAAACAAAACGACGTTTCGGAGGCAACACAAGCTTCCGTCTTCAGGTGGAAACAGTCACGGCAAAAAATCGCTGCTGTGACTGTTTCCACCTGAAGACGGAAGCTTGTGTTGCCTCCGAAACGTCGTGTTTTAATTGTTTCATTTTATTTTAATTTGTTTTTTTACCTACGTGACTTTACCGAATAAAACCAAAGATTAATATAACTCATCTTAAGTCCACAGACAAAGATTCCCCGTATAGCGTGTAACAGACTGCTGGGGCAAGTGTTGCTAGCAAGCGCCTATGAAGGCCATAACCTCACGTAGTGAGTAATGTATCCAGCACCATGATCGGCTAATGGGATCAGGGCCGGATTAAGGCATGGGCTTTTGGGGCTGCAGCCCAGGGTCCTCCGCCAGCTGGAGGGCCTCCAGAGATTAAGTGAAAAGTTATTTAATTTGTGAATGCTGAAAATAAATTACATTTTTCTTTAACTTTGTTTTCCTTTTGAAAATATATTATTGGGGGCCTCACAGTACATGTAGCCCAGGGACTTACACAATCTTAATCCGGCCCTGAATGGGATGTGTAAAAAACAAATGTATGCGCGGAGACGTATACGGGAAGGAGGTGAATTGTCTGATTAACTCTTTTTGGCACGGTGAGTTGGCTGTCTAGTTCACTGTTACACAGCG